TTGAGGGTGGCCCTTGTCTACATGTCGAAGACACGGCTGTGTTCCCTTGGACTGAAGGGGGAGAACTAGAAAACAATTCTAACCAACGCACAACAATGCGGCGCAAAGTCGCAAAGCGCATGCACAAAGCTAACTCATCCCAAAACATGTGTCCCTGTTGTTTCACAAGTAATCACATTTCCCACAACACGATTGTGCGGTGTCCCTTCACTGTTGCCAAAACACTTGTGACAAACTGACTTGGACTTGTGAGAAACAAGTGCGTTGGATGGTAGGTTTGTGTTTTGGTTTGAGGGCTTTAGGGCTTAGGCTCCGGGTTGTTAGAACCTAGGTTCAAGGTTTGAAGGTTTACATTTAGAGCTTTTATGGGGTTCGGTTTAAGATGTTTAGGGCCAAGGCTCAGGGTTTGTACGGTTGGTTTTAGGGTTTAGGGTTCGCTAGGGCTTTTAGGTTTTAGGTTGAGGGTTTTAAGGGTTTAGCTTCAGGGTTTTAGGGTTTTGGTTCAGGGTTGGTAGGGTTAAGGCTCAGGGTGTTTAGGGTTTCAGTTTAGGGTTCGCAGGGATTAGGTTTAGGGCTTTTAAGTGTTTTAGGCTTTTGGGGCTTAGGTTCAGGGCTGGTAGGGTTCAGGCTTGGGGTGCTTAGGGTTTAGGTTGAGTTTTGTGGGTTTCAGTCAGGATTTTTCGGCTTGGGCTCAGGGTTGGTGGAGTCAAGGCTCAGGGTTCTAGGGTTTATGTTCAGGATGTATGTTTGGGTGTTGGGCTTTTAGGGTTTGGGTGTAGGCTTCGTAGGGTTTAGTTTTAGAGTTTTGGGTTGCTAGGGTTAAGACATAGGGTGTTTTGGGTGCAGGATGAGGGTTCGTAGGGTTTAGGTCTAGGGTTTTCACGGTTTAGGTTTAGGGTTTCTAGGGTTGAGGTTTAGGGTGCTGTGGCTCAGGTTTGGCTTTCTTGGGTTTAGGTTGCGGTTCTGTTTGGGTTTAGGTTTAGGAATTTAGGTTTAGGTTTAGGGTTTTCAGGGTTTAGGTTTAGGGTGTGAAGGTTTGGGTTTGGGTTTGCTTGCTCCCAGACACTTCACTAGGCATTTCCGCTCCGACCGTGCTAAAACCTCGTGAGAAACGAGGAGATTCGACTTGCGAGAAACGAGTGCGCTTCCTTTTTCTTTGGGATGCGGCTTTCTAACACACTCCGGCTCAATAGTTGCGTCATGGTCGAAACTCCTGATCTGGGCTCATACTAAATTGCAAAAAGGCTGATGACCACGCCTGCCAACCTCCCAAGCAAAGTTGTCTTTTGACCATGGCACAAACGTACTGTACAGCTTCCAAGTGTTGTACTTCTGAGATTGATGGCCCAAACGTAATTTTGAGAACTGAAGCGCAATTACTTTCCGGTTTCCCCCAGTCCAAGCGGCTCATCCGAAATGGCCTTCACCGCCCCGTCGATCTCGCTGCTCAACGCCTCGGAGTAGCTCGGGCCCATCATGCCCCCCTCGTCGATGGCGATGGAGCCCACCTGCCATCACGTCATGTTCCCGGTTGTTTGACGGAAAATAAGGTCTGCCAAGAAGCAAGCATGCCATGGAAAATAACAAAACCAACCAACAAAAGTCACGGAGCGAAAGGTCGGCCGGCACAAGGCCTTTGATGGGTTCAGGTTTTTGCTGGAGAACTCCTTTTGGGGTCGTTGCAGTGGGTGCAATCCTAGGCTTTCAGTGCGCAAAAGTCCGCGGGCTGAAAATCGGGAGCTTGCCACAAAAAAGGCAGATCCAACGCCATCCACACGACTTCTCGGCGACGTGCCTGGGACATGCCGAACTGTGTGACCATGGCCCGGGCCATGCGTTCCACCTGGCGGGCCGAAGAAAAGCCACATCTATCTCCCACCCCAATTTTGGTAGTTGACCTTCTTGCTTTTTGTGACGGAAAGCAGTCCCTCCAAACAATTGAAAACAGGCACTGGAGGTCTTGGAGAGCAATCCAGCCACATGCGTGCACAGCTCCTCGGCTTCCGTGCCAACCAACTTCAGGGAGTTGATTGACATTCTTTCTTCTGGAGAAGACCATAGATTGTGGCCCTCTAGACTACAAGTCCTTCCGGGAATCTGTTGCTCAACTCTCAAAAGTACGTAGGTCTTTTACTCGCGTATCCCAGTAAAGCTTTGGAAGTGCGAAACAAAACGCATTTGTGTATTTTGTTGTGGCCCAAATGAGGCATGATCAAAACCACCCGACCTGGGCATGGACCCCACTCGGTTCAAATAGCCTGCTGGAGGTCCCCGCTGGCCCCGGTGGTGACCTGGTCGGTGCCAAAGACCAGCTGCTCTGCTGCGCGGCCCCCCAAAGCGCCCGCGATGCGCGCCTGCGCATGGAAGGCTGGTTTAGGGAAATCAAACTTTTGGAGACCCCCTTTCGGATTTTTCAAGGGAAGCCACAATGCAACCCAGCCATTACCCTCCATTGTGACACTGTGTGCGAAAGTATTCACTGGTGTTGGCGTTGGTCTATTTTCCCGGCTTCTCTATGCCACCCACTTGCCTTCAGCATGGCCGCTGAAATGAGGCTCTGGTCCTCCCCAGGGGTGAACCAGGTGAGGCCTTTGGCCTGGCCACGGGGGATCAGCGTCACCTTGTTCACCTGGCAGTAGCAGAGTCAGTAGGCAATGCAAAGGAAGAAACGTACCGAGCAAAGCATCCAGCCAGTGTTGAGTGACAGCTTCACCTGCCAACCCTCACCCTCTGTGGGAATTTGGGGAGTTCCTTGCAGCGTCCTGTTGAAAATTTAAGTCATCTGGAAATAGTGAGGAAAAATCAGTGGGGGTGCCACAACTGGGACAAGCCATGGGCTAACTGATTGCTACTCACAAAGCCTGGACTCGAACCCTCTATCCGATGCAACCTCGCAGGGCTGACCGGGTCATGGTATGGCAGCAGCGTGCCCACCAGAGCATGGCCTGCCTCGTGATAGGCCACCAGCTTCCTTGGACATGCTCAAAAGAGTCAACATTGGCGAGTCCCCTGCACATTGGCGCCAAAAAAGAGTCGATCCCCCAAAAAATGGCAGATTCCTCCAGCGTGGGTTCCTTCCGTCAATCTGCAGGGGAGCATCCTACACGTGAGAAACGTGCGGGTTTGATTCTCTGGCATCATGCTTGGGGCTAGGTTCTGTGACCGAACCACACTTGAACTCTACCCTGATGATGTTTGAGTGGTGCAAGCTTCAGAGTTGGCTACGCCTCCTTTGAAAAACAAACATGGTCTTCCAGGGCCCCCCCTGCAGATTCTACGTTCGCTTGTTGTGAGGGTGCCTTGCTGAGTGGCTTGGAGGCGCTGTCGGGCATAGCCCGACCCTCGAGGCCAGCGATGACTCGGTCAGTTGCGTCGTTGATCTCCTAAGTGAGCTGCCAGCCCTGCTTACCCCTTTGCCAACAATGGGGGGAAACAAAATTGATGGTTGAACATCAACCCTTGAAAGGTGCACCCTCTTTCCAACACTACAGTCTTCCAGAACCCTTCTGTCAGCTTCCATGTTCGTTGGAAGGGCAAGCATTAAAGCCGGGAAGGTCTAAGTCCTTGCATTTTGGATGTATAATACATAAGCAACGGTCTGGTTCCCTCCATAGAAATCCTCATATTTGGTTCTATGACCTGTTCAACCATGGTACATATGTTATTGTTATCATTACTTATCTCTTGATGTATGAGACGCCTAGTGATTGACGTCTGCATGCGTTCACGAGGGACTGGCAAAGTGGGCACGTGCCTGCAACGGTGTAGCCGGTTGTAAATATGTTTTCAGCCTTTCTGCATGTCAAGTTTGTCTCCTACAGATTTGCCTGGCACCCCCGCCTTCAAAAGCGAGCCAAAAAGAGAACCAACCAACAAATAAGAAAGTTCTGCGACCAACCATGAAACAGCTCAGCTTGCGAAGGCTTCCAACGGCAATGCCAGGTCTCCTGCATGGTGATGCCAGTCTTGTTGCGCCTCGCCGCCAGGATGGCCGACTCGTTCATGAGATTCTCGAGATCTGCTCCGCTGAAGCCAGCTGTGCGCTTGGCGATATCCAGAAGCGTCACCTCAGGCAAAGAGCTGCTACGCTCCACCACAGACAATCCAAATACTGAGTTGTATTATAATAATAATCATGATAACAATAATGATAGCAATAAGACTAGCAGCGACAAGAATAACAATATTGATAATTGCCACTTGTGACTACAAGTAAAAAGTCTTATAAAGATTGTGTCGTTCAGCTTTAGAGAGTTCTTTTTAGATAAAAATGGCCTCGAAGAACCCACCAGTCAAGTTCCATGGCAACGTGGATGGGAGGGTACCCCACTCATTTTGACCCCGGACGAAGCAGGAAATCACTCACTTTTGCGGAACCACCCCAATCTGTCTGCCATGTTTTGTTTGTTTGCACCATTTTGTTGCACAATCACGTGCTTTGAAAGAAGCGTGCGAAAGTGAGCACAATGCTTAGGGATCATGCTTCACGTGTTTTGCTTCGTTCACTTGGAAGCCGGAAGTATGTAGCTGCCTATGCACCTGGCCGCAATTGCTCCTCAACCAAAGTGTTGGCAGAACCTGTTTACCCTGCATTCAAGCGCGCAAGCAACGTGTTGACAGCCGGGCAAAAAACCCAAGGTTGGCCGCCCCCGTGCCTCTTCTGCCAGCTTCTTGTTCTTCACATGCACATTCAGGATCTGCTCCCGGCCCTGCACATCTGGCAGACCCACGGTGACCCGGCGGTCGAAACGACCCGGCCGCAGCAAGGCCTGGTCCAAGATGTCCTAAGATTCAAACAGCAAGCAAGGTGAGCCACAATCAAAACCCAGGTAAAGGAAGTTACTGGGGGACAGGCCTAGCCACAAATAGGTGCGGCCGCCCCTTTGATGCTTTACATGGTTTTGGAATTGTTCCGGGCAAGGACATTCTCCAACGCGTGATTTGCTGTGCTGTTTCAAGAAATGAGAACGCTGGCTGCAGTGATAACTTGCACTGAGAACAAGCACCGAGGCCGTGCGTACATGCTTCTGAGTGTCCGCACGATTGGTGGCAGCAACTACAATGACGCCGCTGTTGCCTTCAAAGCCATCCATCTCAGTGAGGATCTGGTTCCTTGGCTAGGAAAGCTTCCAAACTGGGTTTTTGCCAGCCTCTCTCTTCAGTCTCAACAAGCAAGGCTTTCGGCCTTGGCCTACAGTATTACAGCAACAATGCCGGATATACGAGCTGCCGAAATGTGCGTGTGTGTGTGTGATGTTGATGCTGAAATCCTTCTGTCACCATAGTGGGGCGTTCAAACTGCAAACACCCTCAATGGGTGAATAAACCTCAAATAAACCACACATGTCGCTGCAAACTTGTTGCTGAATGTTCCGCTTTCAACCAAAAAGCTGGCTGCTGGTTCCACTACAATGCCATGAGGTGTATGAGTCTGTGAAGCAATAAGTGTGCAACATGCTTGTTTCACTATGGGGGAAACCTATCTGAATGCAGAAAATTGTCCGTATAGCCATTCCCATCACCCATAGTTGGCATATCCCTTGTCGATCAGCCACCCCGGATGATGCCTGATGAACAGCACATCCAAGTTTCAAGGTCTGCTCGCGCTCGTCATTGCCGCCCCCCATGCCAGCGCCGCGCTGTCGGCCGATGGCGTCGAGCTCGTCGATGAAGACGATGCAGGGGGAGTTCTCCTTGGCCTGAGACCCAAAGCACCAGGATCCCAGGATCCATCCGTTGGGTTCCATCTGTGGTGAGAGAAACTGTCATAAATGTGATTTGGACAAATTGCCATAGTTCCCAACCTGGATCGTTCTTGAATCCAGCTGCGATTGCAAAAGCGCGCACCGGCCGCATGTGGACCCCACCTGCTTTCACCAAAAAGTCACAAACATGGAGGTCAAAATTCAAGTTTGAAGCATCCCAACCTGGTTGACCGCTGGATGGTCACAGAGATTCCAGGTTGCAGCGCAAAAGAAGGCGAATTTTCCTGCAAATCTCATTCAGTGTAGATCGGATTATTGAGACGAACGATCGATTCATCTCAACCCGCGTGCTCTTGAGCTCATTCCATGCCATCTGTCCCTCTCAGGAACATGGGCAGCAGACCCCAGACCACCAGGATATGTGCAACAACTAGGCCAAAAAGCCCCTAGATTTGACGCGTGCAACATCCAACTATGGCCCTTTGGATTCCCTTCCAAACCCCAACAAAGGGCAGCATCGAGTCAAAACCAGGACATGCTAGCCATTCGCATCCCAAGAAACCTCGGCCTGCCTCAAGGTTTCGGCCAAAATCCTGGCACAAGTTGGACAAAGATAGGCTTCCGGCTTCCGGTAAACTAACGGGAACCATTCACCAACTTTCCACCCACGCTCCAGCTGCCTGCTTGAAGATGTCGCGGACCCGTGAGGCGCCCACCCCGACAAAGAGCTCAATGAACTCGGAGGCGGAGGCCTGGATGGGTCGCAAGTTGGGCGATTCAACGCGTTCATTCAAGCCACCAGCAGTTGCAGACAAACAAGGCAGAAAAACACCAGCAAGGGGAAGCAGGAGCATTCAAAGGCACTCGCTGCCAAAAAGAGAAAAACGTGATCAATCCAGGGTCGGCGTTTCGCATCTCGTATTCCTGCCCATCCCCCAATTGCATCTTTTGTTTACCTTGGCCCTTCGTGCCAAGGACATCCGGCAGCTTAATAGAGCACCCAATAGCACGCTACAAAAGGCGAGTCACCAAGCTCTGATGGCATGGGCGCCCGGCCGGCCTGTTGCCGCAACAAAACATGCAAAGGGCATCTTCAAATGTCCTCGAATTGAGGCTGAAAACGATGCATCCCATGCTTCCCCCTCAGGAAACAAACGGACAATTTGCACAGCCATCTGTGGACAGGCTCGCGGGAGGCGAGCTGTACATCAAAATTATTCCGCATAGAGTAGTAGGCCATGGTTGTCATGACCATTCTACTACATAACACCCTGCATCTCCAGCTTCTCTTGAGCCAGGGCGACTGCACGACGATCCTTGGGATAGGTGCAGTGCGCCAGGCAGTAGAACAAGAAGCACACGGCGAATGACACCAGGGAGACCCAAAACACACCTGAGGCCAGGCTGTGGGCGTCCTGGGGCGAGCACTCCTTCTGGTTGGCGCTCTCCGAGTCGAAGCCGAAGATCTTGTCCGTGAGCCACCCCACTGCTGGCTGGCCGAAGGCACCGAAGGTGCCTTCAATGCACCGGTCCAGCGCGTAGATATAGCTGTAGCTCTCTCTCGGGACGACATCGCTGAACATCTTGTTGTTCATCACCATGTTCCAGGCGATGAGGATGCCGGTGACAAGGAAGGCCGCACAGTAGGAGCCAAACAGCCCGGGGGTGTGGATATCCATATCACCAAGCCCGAACAGAATGAACGCGAAGAGTGGAATGGACGCGCCCACCGAGAACTGGCAGATCGTCGGAGGCCCATGATCCGGGCAGCGCCTGAAGACCATGTCCAGCAAAAAGCCCCCGATGATGCTGGAAAAGGCAGTGCCAATATTGAAGAAGGCATAGATGGTGGCAGCCTGCTGGTTGGAAAAGCAGTTCAGCTCTAGCCACATGGTCAGGTAGCTGAACGCAAACCAGGGTGCAGTGCCGAAGACTCCCTGCCCGATGATCACCAGGAAGGTGGGGAGGCAAAAGATCTTGCTGAGCTTTGGAGTCTCTTGGACGATGATCGCCAGCATTGTGCGTTGGTCTCTCTCCTTGGTCTCCTCGACAAAGATGCCAACTGCAACACCCACAAAGGCGCTTACGATCGCAATCACAAGCAGCGCAAATTGCCAGCCCGCGATGCTGCCCACCTGTGTGCTGGCCACAGTGGTGGCAAAGGCGGTGAAGGCAGTCTGGCCCAGCTGGCCCGTGAAGATCAAGCACCCAAAGGCCTTCCCCCGTCCGTAAATGCCGCTCTTGTCTGCGACGAGGCTGAAGAGCAGAGGCTGGACAATTCCAAGGCCAATGCCATTCACAGCCCGGAAGATGGTCATACAAAGCAAATCCGGTGAGAAGGCACAGCCGATGAGGCCCACGGCCCAAATCGTGCTACCAGCGAGGATGAGCTGCGGCCGTGGGAGGCGGTCGGCAAGGAACCCCGCGGGCAGGGCGAAGACGGATTCAAAGATGCCCCGCACGAGACCCAGGTTGCTGAGATCAGATGGTGAGAGGTTGAAGTGCTTGGCAATCTCTGTGTACACTGCTGGCAGGGCCATGTTGTCAGTGTTCCACATGACCATGACCATGTTCAGGCACGCCATCTGCAGCAACCAGCTCCACCAGCTCTCCGGTGGCTGCTTCTTAGTGTCTGCGGCATCAGACCATTGTTGATTGTCTGAGGCTGCCTTGGCGCTGCCCGAGTCAACTGCAACTGGCTGGTGGCTCGCCATGGCAGGACACGCAGAGGTCTGTGAGCAGAAATCGTTCGAGCCAAAATTGCTATGCCACCAAGCCGGACTCCCGAATCCAACAGCTTCAGAGTCGGCCCAAAAACTGTCCTGGGCCCGAAACTGGGCATCGAACGGTTTGCCACTGGCCTGGATGAAGGGCACCTTGGCTTCCCCCGCCAACGCCTTGGCCATGAGGGTCTTGCCTGGGCCAGGTCCAGTGGCTTTCCGCCGAGTCTATGCTTGAAAATGAGTATATATATATATATGAATATATATATATATATATGTGTCAACACAGGGGACCCCCCGGCTTTCCTTTTGCTTTCCCCGTTCAACCACCCCGATAATGGGACCTTTTTTGAGGGTACCCTGTTCAACGGCTGGCTCGACGGGAAATCAAAAGCAGATGGATCCCTGGAAAAGGAAAACCAAAGGACCCAACCCCTTTCACACATGTTCGACCACAACGGCGGCCGTCTTCAAAACCCTTTGGTCTAGTGATTTCGTGGCCGCAGGGAGGACAACCATCGCTCCAGGGGAAGGTGCATATTTGATCTAAGATCTGTGCTGTTGATTCATGCCCCAGTGCATGATGGTGGCATGCCGCTTTACCTTTTGGTTTATACGCCAACCAAAAAGGTTGCAGGTCGAAAGAGCCTTCGCCCCGAACTCCTCCCCTCTTGCATCGAGGCGCCCGTGCCCGGAGGGCCACTCAGCAGGACGCCTCGAGGGATCTTGGCGCCCACCTTCACGAAGCGCTCGGGCGCCCGTAGGAAGTCCACGATCTCCGTCAGCTCCTTCCAGGTGCAAGAACTGTTGCAACCAAACCCATGTTGGAAATCGCCCTTCAGGGAAAAAACGAAAGTAGGCGCTGTATAAGTAGTTCGGTGGTTTATATATGACATGGTGCCAGTTTGTTGAAACAGTTTGGTGATTTAGTTAAGTGGTTTAAACAAGGGATTGAATCGCCCACCTGCTTGGCCTCCTCGATGCCTGCCACATCCTCGAACTTTACACCTGAAGGCCGAAGGGGAGGACTTGGGCTGGGCAGCCGGGGGAGCCACTTGCCTTCACTTCCTTCCCACTCATTGATAGACATTAAGTGCTTTTGGTGGAGACCGGTGAGAGGGCGTGAGGATTTGTTTAGTTGATCTCAAGTCTGGAAGCGTGAAGGACACTTGTTCGATTGTCTCTGTGAGACCTGTTGATCTTCTCAGTCACCGGCACCCACATCCCAAATCCACTCATAAACTTATTCATCTGGGGCGTATTCAATCTTAAGCCGCTGACATTAAGATTCTGTATCACAAGAAGAAGCTGCTTAACGAAAGGGACAGATGAAGCTTGCCGAAGGAAACCGTCTCTTGTATCAAATGTTGCTGTCAACGCTGCTTCATCTTCCTTCGTGTTCATCCATGATTATCTTCCGACCGCAACCAGGAAGGTGAGAGACAGACTGGCCACTGCATCTGAACATTGTCAAGGCAAGGATTGCATAGATTCAATGAGACTTGGTATTTGGGAACTTGTCCCGAATGTCATCCGTTCCATGTGTCTTGAGGGCAAATATGAGAAGAACAGGCGGCTCCTATTAAGACATGTAAAACGCATAGATTCTTCATGACGTGATTGGTTCAGATTCAAATTGAAAGGACTGGCGAGAATAAGAACAATTGGACCTTCTTGGGTGCGATAGCTGCATTAACGTAATCGAAGCTTTCACTGATCGCGCCCATCGAACCAAGCAGCACTGGTGGTCAGGTAACTGATAGCATGATCTTTCTCGAGAACAGAGTTTGTACCATTTTGACAGGAAACTGCAAGACACACGCCCTACTAAGTCATGGGGCCACAACTAGCACAATGAAACGGACAACTGAAACGGACAACGTGCTGGGAAATGCTGCATCCTGTTGCGCTTTTGCACCTTTTCGAGCTTTCTGATACGAGGCGGGATCGAAGTTACTTGTTTCCCCAAAAGGGATTCGAAAATTTATGAGTCCCTTGGAAATCTAGTAAGGCCCCCATGTCCCTCCCGGTTGACGATAGACTGCTGGACATCTGAACCAACCTCATAATCTCATGATGTGTGTCTGCTTGCGCCACTGCTGCGAGTTCCCAGGCGCCGGTCTCCGGCGTCATCATGATCTGCGCTTTCTGGTTCATGCCCGGGATGCCGCCCGTGCCAGGGCCCCTGGACCAGGCTTGGGTAGTTTGTTGTTTGAACAACCGGGCCCTGGTCACCTTTAATGGGAGACCAAAAGGAGGCTTGCTTCCCAAAAGAATGGTTTCAGCCAAAGTTTGAGCAAGGGATTGGCCCAACGGCCTGGAGCGCAACTAGATTAGACCTTGGCGAGGGGTATTGCCCATCCCTGGCCTGGACCGCATATACAGCAACCCTCCGATGAGCAGAAGCGGCAGAGCGGCATCGCCCAGCGCGCCCAGCAGAGGGTTGGGCTTCTCAGGCGTGTGGACCTCGATCTGGATCCTGAGATACGAGCGTGAGGCAAGCGGACAAGTCCTTTTTGAGAGTATCATTTTGGGTTGTTGTAAAGGCAAACCAAAACAAAACACACAGTTTGGGATTCCCTCATTTGAAGATCCAAGGCAAGTGGAGAGCAAGTTCCGACATGTCTGTCAGTTGATCATTGGTGTTTTAATTCACAAGCGCCATCCTCTCTTTATAGTTTTCTGCATTGGACTAAAGGGCAAAACGGCGGCCGTGCTTCTCATCTTGCAAAACGTAAGGTAGAAAAGGTGAGAGCGGTCACCCTGTAGTTCCCTTGGGGTATCCCTCAAAACACTAAAGGTTCAAAGAAGGCAAAAGTTGAGCTGACAAGTAGTGGCAAGAGGGCCGGAAAAAAGAGCATTGTGCTTTGATACAAGGTAAAGTAGCCATTCTAATGACTTGAGCTGCGGCCAACATTCGGAGTATCCCAACTGACATGGGATTTTGGTGAGTCCCCATTTCTCAACGGAAGTTTGGGGATCGTGCGCACGTACGTCCCCTTTGGAGTAGATAACAGTTGTCTTTGGACCCGGATTTAGGCCCTTAGTTGCTCTCACAGCAAGCAGCTGCTTGGCCAAGAGCTTGTTGATGAGTCCGGTGCCCGGCGGCAGCTCTGCCACCAGCTGCTGCTGCCTGCCCGCCACGCTCACCACCCCTGTGCGACCCTTGTCGTAGAAGTCCACGCGGTCCACCTGACCCTCCTCAGCGCTGAAACGCGAGACATATGTTTTCAAGTCATGTTCTTTTGCCGGGCTGGTTTGCAAAGCCGGCTTGATACAGCATCTTACATGGTGCAAGTTGCTCCATGCTTTCTGTTGCAACAGAAACAACGTGCGGGCCAGGTTCATCCACCAGCTGCAGCAAATTCGAGTAGCTGACCCTGTCCACAGGCGATGCTGCGATCTCTCGTGCTGGGGCCGCCTGCTGGATTGGGGCTATGTCTGGCAAAGCAGCCTCGGCCGAGGCTGGCACCTCGGCGGAGGCTGGGATAGGAGCTGCAGTGGATGCCAACGCCACTAGAAAAGAGGCAGCAGCAGCTTGGATCGCCTGCAACAGGGGAAATACAAGCAATACAATCCCCTGCCCCAACAAATCCAAGTATTCAAAGGCCATCCCGCCACAAGCACCTTATTTAGAAAAGCCATGAAAGCCCTTGGCAACAAAAGGTCCTTGGACTTGTGCCGTCCCGCGCCTGCTCTGGCAGCGCTGTACCCTGCGAGTCGGCCACCTGCTGCACCTTGCGCAGCACCTCATCGCTGGTGCACTCGCTTGTAGCCTCCACCCCCTCGGTGGCAAGGCCGTACCGCGCCACCGCGCTCCTGGCTGCCCGGCTGCGCAGCATAGGCAAAGCGCGGCTTCCGCAAAAGCCAGGTCTCCTTTGGCCCCGGACCTGGTGGACTTGCGCTGGCAGCGCGGCGCGGCTGGTGCCGGTGTTTTCGGCGGCTTCACCAATGTAGGCCGCAGTGGCCATCTGCTGCGCCATGACCAACTTGCCTTCAGCCATAAAGCCCAGTTAAATGACGATTGTTCAAACAAGCTTCAACCAAGCCGTCAACCAACCCTGCCTTCAATCGCAGCCTTGTTGATCATCCTGACCAACTCTTCACCACCAACCTTCTCCTGCTCCATCAAGGTCTTGGCAAGCTCATCCAGCAGGTACATGTTGTCAGTGAGAAGCTTCATCCCACGCTTGTACTGCTCATCCACTATGCGCTTCACCTCCAAGGATTGGACTCTAATTGCAAAACTGGAATCGGGATGTTCAGATGTTCGATTCCCGCATGCACAATGGCAGCTTCGACCAGGCCACCATCATGTTGCATTCTTCCATTGGATGACTCGCCCCTGGGCCGTTTGTCCCTTGGCCCCCCACATTCACCCAGATTCGCCCCCGCCTCATCATCCACCTGCTGCTTCAAGGCCTGCGACATGGGGGGCGCGCTCTGACCCATGAAGTCTCGGCCCATGAAGGGACCGCCCCCCTGTTGGCCGCCCAACAGCCGCTGGCCGATCGCTGGGGACATGCCCAGCGACATCACCATCCTCAGCAATCTATGCCCTGTCAATCGGAAATGGAAAACTTGCTCCTTCTTTGAGCGTGCCCCTTTTTCGCTGAGAGGCCATCCAAAATTGGGCGGGGCTCCCTCATTGACAAGAACAAAAACACTTGATTTTTGTTTGGATGAATGACGACCAGGGAGATCCCCACTCCGTACTTAAGTGTATAGGGAGTGATCCCAGTCTACATCCATATGGTTCTCTCTTGCTGGAAGATGGGAAAACACATATTATCAACGGGACCACCTATTTGGGTCCCTCATTTAGAGACAAACCCACCTGTTGTTTATTGGTTGCTGTTGAAGATGGAACAACGCCAATCCCTTGGGGTCGCAAAGTTTTGACACAAACCCAATTGGCCTGTTTGCAAAAAGGACCTTGGTTTCGCAAACAGGCCAATGCTTTCTGGCATCATGTCAGTAAAAAAACACTTCACACACACACACACACGCTTGGAAGCTGCACCCCATGTTCCATTTGTCAGATGATTGCAAAAGCGAGATTCAAAAGGACGGACAGGCCTCTAGCCTTCAAGGCACGTCAGTTGGATTCAACTTTGCAAGCTCAACTTAGGAACATGATTGGGTGTCTCCTCTGCAAAATAATGAAGGTGGCAGGGGCGATCACTGCAAACAAAAAGAGGCATGCGGCCTGGGCGCTGCTTGGCCACCTGCGTGCACTGCTGGAAGTCGTTGGAGGCCCCTGTGGTGACATTGTCCTTGCCGTTGATGATCTCCTCCAGGCTTGGCAATTCAAGCCACTGGTCTGAACTCACTCCTATGGATTTAAATTACGGCTTAACTGTGGGTTAAGTACCACAGGGTGGTTTGAACAATGGTTGGGCAATACCCCCTTCTAAACTGGGACAAAACCCATATCCTTCAAATACCCGCTAAACAAGCCCTTAGCCCCCAGTTCAAGCCATGGCTCAAACCACCAACTGTTGTTTTCCTTAGAGGTTGGGCGATTCAAGCCCTGGTTTGAACATGGGACTAAGCCCCTATTCTTGAAACATCCCTTCAACGGGAGCTTCTAATCACGAAAAAAACACTCCTGGCTTCCCTTCAAAGAAAGCCCGGGTCTGGTTTGGGGGTTGTCAAGCATATGGTCCTTTTTGGACCCCTGCGCTGCCGTTTAAAGGGATAGCCCCACTTGTTGAAACAGAATTTGCAGCGAAACCCCAGGTCTCCTCCGCCAATCGCCCGCCCAGCGCCACGCACATCCGGTTCTCCAGAAACTCCTCAGAAAAGAATCGAAACCACCCATCAAGGCCTAGTTGGGTGTGGCTTTTTTCAGAAATATTTTTCGAGGTTGGGAAGTGGAAAAATATACTTGTTGAGTTGGGTTTTGGGAGTGGATTAAAGGATGGACAAACACGACTGTCCAAAATCATCTGAAGCACCCCGATACTTATAAATATTATATTCATAGAAATAATCTCATGAAAGTGACCGATGTCACATATTAATAAACCAGGACACTACACCCGGAGGTTCACTTAATATTTGCTGCCCATCAACAAGTGGGTTTCAATGCCTGGGGGGCGAGAAAAAATGCTACCCTGGCAACTACCAATCTTCACTTCGGATTAATGCGGAGGACACATCCAAGGAATGCCCCTAAAACAGACTAATCCTTCACTACAGGGCAGCCACCCTGATTAGTATGGTCCTCCGGATTAATCCGAAGTTGATGCTAAAGGCAGCTCTTCCTCTACCTCGAATTCAGAAAAACGAACATCCGGAAGCCGCGCCTTGGTGTAGAGCCCAGAATCCAGGCGATCTTCCGAGGGGGTGAAGATGGTCACACCACCCGCAGGTCCCCTGGGCACGATGCTGATCTTGGCGACGACGTCGTAGTCGTTCATCCTTGTGGCGCAAGCATCCTCCAAGATCCAACATACAGAACCACTATGAAACGAATCCTCAGAGCAGAGTTTAAGGTATGCTCCAAGGTTCTCAGACGACCCCTTCACAACATCTGGAACCCGCACGCTCTGTGGCCGCTCCGCCGTGAAACAACAGCACCAACCATTGTTCAGGATGGTACCAGAATTTAGTGCCGGCAGCGTTTAGCGGCTGCGTCCCACAAAAGCAGTCGGAAGCAAAAAGGGAAGAAACTGAGCCCGTGCCAAAAATTGCTGAAGCTGCCAAGCATCAATGCGCCCAAGATAGCATGGCCAGCCTCGTGATAGGCCACCAACCGCTTCTTCTTCTCACTCATCACGGCCTGAGGCGGCTTGCGCCCGCCAACGCGAAACGTGGCAGTGTCCGGCGCGGTTCCATGACAGGCAAAGGAGTATTGAAAATCCTAGATAAAGGTGTGAAGCGCGCATTGTGAGGTTCCATGAGAAACAAAAAACAAAATATGCACGTCAGACAATTCATGTTGATTCTTCTGCAGATTCTCAGGCCATAGCAATTGCTGTTGGCGCATACTGCGTAGCTTTGCAACCAACAAACTAGCAACAACAAGCAAAGAGGGTTGGCAGCTGGCAGCTTATGACTTTTCTGGGATGCCCTACCAATTTTGTGGGTGTTCCCCAGTCCAGTTTATAGCAACAAAAACCAGCTAAAAGACTGGGCCCCCATATTTGCTGAGAGCTGACTTGGGCCATGCAGACTGCTCAAAGCGCGATTCAAGAGGTCGCCAGCTGAAACAGGAATGTGAGCCATTGCCCTGGTTTGTGTTCGACATTGATTGAGTTCCCCAAATTTGGCGCTGGCTTGAAGGGCAGGTGTGACTGATGGCCAGGGCCATTGCCAGAAAAAATACGTGTGCAGCCATGTGACATCCTTTTTCTCCAAACCGATGGCGATCCTCTCCAGTGCGTTCGCAATGTCGTCCTGGTCAATCTCAGTCCTTAGAGTGTACAGCTGCATACCATATCTAAAACTAAAGAATGAGCAATCCGTCCATGTTTTCAGGGCTGATATTAACATGATGTTCTGGCACGTCAAGCAGAAACCAACAAATGACACCTCGACAAGCTCGGGCTGTCAGAGATCAAAAACAAGTGCGCAGACCAAATTGACTCCTAGCCAGGCGACGACAGCCTCAAAGAGGCAACAACAATGGCGCGACAACCACACCAGCAATAGCGATGAGAAAGAAAAAATGATAATGATGCCAACCATGTCCAGGATGATAGTGATCATGATGACGATCATGCTGATAGTCTTCGCGTGTAAACCTCCCAAAACCTGCAACCCAAAAGTCCCCCCAACATCCAAGGCACTTGTTCTCGCGTGCCGCCACGATGGCGCCCTCGTTCAGCAAATTCGCCAAATCTGCGCCGGACATGCCGGGGGTCATCCGAGCCACAGCCGTGAGATCCACGCCTGCCAAGGCGGCAGGCGAAACGTGATGGTTGGGAGCATTGAAGCTTGGCCAGGCGGGACTAAGACCCCCGCAAAAGTTCAATTGAGCTGGTGAACATGGAGAATGAAGGAGACCCAAAGGGCAATGATTGGAAGGTGCTGGCAGGTTGAAGATCCCTACCCACAAAGGAAGGGGGCGCCGGGTCTCCCCAGTTCATTTGAGTCCCAGAATCATGCGGAAGTAGAACCATGAAATTCTAGGGGTCACTTCCCAAGTTCCATGTCTAAAGGGGCTTGGAGGATTGGAGGTGGCACCTTCAAAGATCTGAAAACGGGTCAGGAATCTGTTGGGAGGCATCTCCTCGTCGACCTCACTTGGATACTCAATGTGTCCAAGGTGAGCGTGCCCCATGTCATCCCCTTTAGTACGGTAGATGACAGTAAACATTGTCCATTGCTCTAGCATGTATCCGCAAAGTGGACCGATGCAAGGTATGCGGATGGATGTGTCCTGGTCTCCACCAAGTGCAGCATGGAGACGCCATTGTAAATGAGAAAAGATCTGCCCTGAAATTTGATAGGCAAGGCTGCGCTTGAACCACGCTCCACCAACCAACGTGGAATCAGACTCGAGGACCCGAAAAGGCCGTTTTTTCTCCGCAAGGACCCCTTGGTGGTTTCTATGTTGGTGGGTGGGAGGGTACATGACGAAGGGCGGGGGGGGGGGACATTCTGGGGTGCAGCTCTAGTACAATTCTAGCACATGGCGAAGGGGGGAACATTCTGCAGCGCCGGCAAAGGGCGAGACTTGTTGCACTTCTTAGAAACACTTAGCTTCATTCCCCGGGACGTCCGCAAACATCTGCCTGGTGCCAGGTTCTTGCCCTTGGCATGAACCTTGAGGATCTCCTGGGCTCAACCCCTTCAAACCCCTGCCACCAGGCTCTCAGAAATGCCTGCTGTGCTCTTACGAAGTGAGGCCCGACCGACTTGGAAAGACATCCCCCAAAGACCGCTTTCTTTAGTCATGCATTTGTCTAGCCTGCATGATTACATTGGTCAAGCAATGTATGTGTGTGTGTGTGTCTGTGCATTTGGCACGAAAGAGTAGAGCAGTCGTCATGCAGTGTCCTACCAGCTGTGGCAAGGCAAGAATGCAACCTCTTTAGCACCGCCTTTGCTCTCTGGAGGGCAGCAGGAACAGACAACAATTGGAATGCAATGAAGGCCAATACCATCATGCTCTTTTGAAGTGCGCCTGATCCATCCTATCCGAGCCAAAAAGGAACACCACACCTGCTGCAGTCTTCACATGTCACCAATCAGAGAGACTTGAAAGATCAAAAAAATGCCTCCGCGAGTCACCAGTTCCAAACCCAAATATCCTTTCCAAGCCACAACAACTTCAAAAATGACTTGTTTTGCAGAGATGTGTTGTTGTGCATGGCCTTGTTGCCAATTTGAAAGAGCTCAGCAGCGCGAAAATGCTACCTATTATATATATATAGTTGTATAAATATATATATATACGTTTGCACTGTATATGTGCATTTGGGGCAGTCCCAAGACTCTGTTTGCAACTGTCCCCCCTGCTGCAAAAGCCGCAGATTCAGCACCCCATCCAGTGTGCAACTGGGACACCGTCCGGCCCTGAACGTCTGGGGGATCCACTTGGATTTGGCGGTCGAAACGTCCAGGTCGCACCAGCGCCTGGCAGCACGGAAAAGTCTGTCGAAGGCAAATGGGTTTGCCCAAATAAGGACACGCTCAAAATTGGGTGGTTCCCCTTAGTTTCCCGAAAGCAACCTCGAAAAGGTACCCTCAAAAAGCGAAAGACACCCCAAACTTGGTTTCAGGAAAACTATCAAGCCACGCACTGCGCAAATGTCCAGCACCGACCACTGCAACAAGCAAGTCCTGAAATGGCTGAGCTAGACGGAACTAATGCCTGCGCCAGGCCACGACTTGAACAAAACAAGCTGCCTGTTGTACAACAAGCCGAGATCAAAGTGTGCGACATCAGCTCGCAGAAGCGTTACCCTTCCCCGGAATCCATAGAGACTTAGCCAGCGCCCTGCACAACCACCAGTAGGCCTGAGTCTGAACAAGCAGGCAGCACAAGTCAAACTACACCTAGATCACTCCACACTCCGATGCACCTGGTCCAGGATGTCTGCGCGGTTGGTGGCAGCGATGACCACCACGCCCTTGTTGGCCTCAAACCCGTCCATCCTGAGCCGCCCGCTTGCAGATACAAACTCTGGAGAAGGGCCAAACACTGCGCGCAATCTATCTGCAACGTGGACACCTGGAATTGGCCCTTGTCAAGTTGCCATATAGGCAATGCGTCCAATGGACATGGGAAGTTGCGGTAGTCCCTGAAGTCCCCTTATGTCCTCCCCGTCAAAATCATGCATTCCCAGCGTTCCATTTGGAGCAAGCCTGTGCCTGCCACATACAAGTATGCCTGGCGAATGCCTCCGGCAAGGCGTCTCACTCAAAATAGTTAATCTATCCAGAATAATTCAACCTGTCTAACACAATCTATGCCTCCAACTGGACATCAAAAATTATGCCCATGTTCAGCGTTTGGGGGCGGAGCTGGCCGCCGCTGTCCAAAGAACAAACTCCAGCCGCAGCTGAGAACGATGCAGGATCTACTGTTCTGACTAGTGAATAGTTCAGCTCTTGTTTCTCAGGCCCAATGCGTAAACAAATGAGCATTCCATCGCTCAATTGCACTCCACTGACCCTTGTCGTGCATTAGATGCTCGAAGTCTAATGCGCCATCTTGCATTAGAATCATTAGATCCCCTTGCCAAGAACGTCAAGCGTCCCGTTTCCCAACAACCATGACAGTAGAATGGAGGATTTTGGAAGACCACTCTCATCTTAAAAAGGCTTCCCTTCCACTTCCCTTGTTGGAAAAAGGCAGCGCGCCACATCTTGCCCAGTACTAAAAGGCAAGGCACTCCGTGAGCAGTTGGTTCACCTGAGAAGCCCGGTGGATTTCCATGGGGCGAAATACCTCGCCCTTTTGGTGGTTGATTTCAAAGGGAAACACAACAAAGCAAACAAAGAAAGCAACCCACTTAGCAGTTGGTTCACTGTCTGCTCCCTCTCATCGTTGCCCTGGCCAAAGCCGGCGCTGCGCTGGCGCCCAACGGCATCGATCTCATCGATGAAAATGATGCAGGGAGCAGACCTTGGGCCACCCAAACGAAAGACGGCAAGTTTCGCAATGCGACTCAAATTCTTGCGATGAGTTTCGCAAGCAAAGGGCAAACAGGCACAGTGTTGCTTTGTTTTTTTTGAAAACAATGGCGGACCAGGTTGAGACACACTGCTTAGTTTGCAAACAAGAGTGAAGAAGGCAACCTTATTGTGCTCGACTATTGGTACACTGTATGGGTTGACCGGTTGTTATGTATTGCTAAGGCCTCAGCATTGAGATCCTCCCCAAACTGACAATAGACTATGGATATGTTTGTCAGTTGCTCACAGCACCTTGGCCATCGTGGCACAAACTGCCACGACGACCCCTGTACTAGTCTTTCCAGCAACAGAGGTCAACAAGCCCTCCCAACTGCGATTGTTCGGCCTGAAACGCATCAGTCAGAATGCCTATCCAAATGATAGAAACAATGAACAGCGGTACTAAGCATTAAGCTCGGCGTTGACTGGACGAGCATCCAAAAAGTTGGAGAAAACGCCTACCTCCCTCCAAACACCACCGGCCAAAAGCCGGGCCGCTTCTTGGCTTGCTCGAAGAGGTCCCGAACACGACTGGCGCCCACCCCGGCGAAGACCTCCACGAACTCCGAGGCAGCGATGCTGAAGAATGGCACCCCCGCCTTTCTAACGCACAGATCCGATGTGTCCGGGAAACTGTCTATGTGCAGACACTCATACAGGGGTACATAAGTATGTATACAGATTGTTTCACGTATGTGTAGACATGTGATTGACATATGTGTGCATACGCGTGCGACATGTACATTCAAATGCTCCAATTCCAACTCGAAGGGGTCATCATTGGTGATGAATTGTGAGTACGGCCCGGCATACGCCCTTGGCAAGCGGCAAATCTGCAATTGTGACAGGCATTTGTCCGAAGCATCAGAGCTCACCCCTCTCCATGAATGTCCTTTTGGCAAGTGATCACAATCCCAAGCTGGTATTCAAGAGGTCCATCGAAGACCGTGTAAAGAACAAAAAGGGTGGCGGAACCTATTTCTGGGTGGGACTCCTTCATCTACCCGGCTTTCGATCGATGCTCGAGTGATGTGTGTGTGCTCTGGACGTCACGTTCAAAATCATGGTCTCAGCGTATGGAAGTGTTCATGAGTCACCCATGTCCCTGCCAAGTTGGCCAATTCGTACTGAATCCTGAATTTATTGAGCGACCCTCACACATTCACTTGTGTCTGTTTTTGCCTATGGTTGACGGCGCGCACCCCGCTCCACTTTTCAAAGTTGTTGACGGTCCTTCCAACATGTTTTGCCACCAAGGGACCTGAAACTTCCAAAAATAAATGGGGAGCGCAAAGGTTTTGCAAGCGATAGCGAAAGACGAGCAGGATTTCGTCCGTCAACTATTGACCCTCAGCTAAGCCCACTGCCTGATTCTCCTACACAACGCCCAGAAAGGTGTTGAGATCTGAGCCCTCGATTTTTTGTATGAAGATAACACTGTCAAGTGCAGTTTACTCCAACCGCCAACCCATCTAACCTCGCGGCCCGCGTGATTTCTGAAGCCATGGCCAGAGCTTCCTCCAGCCCCCCGCTCACGCCTCGCCGGCCACAGCCTTCGCCAGCAGTGTCTTGCCAGTTCCCGGGGGGCCCACCAGCAGCGCACCCTTGGGAATCTTCGCGCCCAGCTCGGAGTATCTGAGAGTGTCAACCCACCAATGACTGCAACACCTAAAACAAACTCACGTGTAATCATTTCACAGTCAGAATCAGATCGTGAGTGTAGCCAAAACCCATGGCAACGAGTTAAACGTGCGTCTTGCCGCATCCGTTTGTTGTGGGTTGGGGTGGATGTCGCCTAGTATTCACCTACCCCAGGTTGAATCGCTGCTCACAGCCAGATTCCCTCAAAATGCTGGCCTGGAGGTATTCTTCAGGAAGTCGACCACCTCCACCAATTCCTGCTTGGCGCCGTCGCAACCGGCGACATCCGCAAACTTGGTGCCCGTCTCTCCGTCCTTGGCAATACCTCAGCTGCACCAATCTGTTGCTTGGGTATGGCTGTGTCTCAAAACTAGGGGACCCCCCAAAATGGTTTCCTTGTCAAAAAGATGGTTGCTCCAAAAAGACACGCCCATACTGAAGCGTTCTCCGACGTTGACTATGAACTCATGGAATCACCTCTCTTCGTGCCCCTGTATCGCATATGTCTGCCTTTGCGAAACAAAACTAGTCAATCACTGTATCGTCCTTCCAGCTGGTGTGTTATCTCCTGTACCACTGGGAACAAGCGCATTCCAATCTATTGCTTGAATTGATGGGACTTCTTGAAGAATGCTGCTGTGGCTCTACACTCTGTGCCACACTCTGCACGAAAGCACTGCCGAAAAACAGCATCAGCTTCAAGCTTCCCTTCCACTAGATGCCAAGTCACGCGCCTTGGCTTTGCCCAACTCAAAGGGGTTCCCACCTGGAAAGCGGCGATACGAAATCCAGAATTCCTTTCGGTGTCTCGCGTCCGCCAACCACTTTCACAGGAATTGAAAAGCTGTAGCCATTTGAAGAAATCCCCCAAGAAGCAAAACTATGGTCGGACTGTTTCTTACTTCAAGCAAGCCTTCAAGCCCCACCTGGGCCACCTGGGCCGCCGGGGCCTGCAGGGCCGCCCAAGGGTCCGCCGAAGAGCAGCAGGAGACCAGCGATGAGCCAGGCCAAAGGACCGGCGAAGCTCCGCAGGAAGTCCAAGGGGGAGCCCTGGTTTTCTTGGGTGCAACATGTGTCACAACCAGACCCGTTTCGGCCCCCCCTCAAGGGAAATCAAAAAGAGTGGTTTGGGTTAGAACTTGTTGAAACAAGGGGTTGACCCAGCCCTGCCTCCTGGTTGGTCCCAACCACCACGTCAACCTGACGGATCAAAGATTGCGATTCATGGCTCGACATGTCAAAACTCCAGATCTGTGCCCTACCCGTCATGGCTGCAAGGAACAGGAATCCTTACCGCGGTCCGGACCCGGGTTGCCCGAAATCCCTTTTCAGCTGATGATCGTGCCTACCAACCCCGAATAAAGGCTCTTTCACGACGGTACGCTTGGCAAAAGCACTGTAAAGACGGGGGTCTGCATGGAATCCTCTTCCCTCATGAATCACAAACACAGAGCCCAGTGAACAGGTTTCTTGACAAGCATGGCCAAGGCTGGCCTTCTTGTCAGCTAGCTGATTGAAGAGCTGATCCTCGATCTGTGCGTTGGGAATGAGGTTTACTTCACGACGAGAGCCGTCTTTGGTGGTGTACTGCGCAGAGACCATATCTTGCTGCACCCGGACCATCTCCACATCTCCCCTGTTCACTGACTCCAGGAAGTCGGAATAGTTCACCACATCAGCCGCCTGTGCTGGCTGCAGGGTCACCACGTTGCTCAGGAGCATCGCTGCCGCGGCGCTGGCGGCCCACCGCAGCTGGCCCTCCACCCCGCTGCGCAGCGCCTGCTCCGCGCCTTGCGCCACCTCCGCGAAGGCCTTCGCGCGCGCGGCCGGGGCTGTGGCCGACTGCGCCCTCTGCAGCTCGGCGGCGGCGAAGCTGCGCAGCTCAAGCACCAGGCGCTGCAGCTGTTGAGGCGAGGGCCGCTGCAACAGCTCTTGGGCAAGGGCGGTCAATTTGCTCAGCCCCTGCCACTGCTCCATGTCAGGCCGCGCAGCTACAACCGTGCGTTCTTTGGCCCGACGGGCACCCCTGGCACCTGCGCCAGCCATAGCTGCACCGGCCACGGCAGCACCGGCCACTGCGGAGCCGAGAGTTGGCTCAGATCGCATGGCCTGAGCGGCCTGAGCAGTCTGAAACGTCTGAGCCGCTGTGCTGACCTGAGCCTGGCGGGGCACTCCGGGGGCAACGAACGCTGGGGCCATGAACATAGCCATTCCCCCGGCCAGCATCACACCCGTTGTGCGGCTCCCTGACATCTTGCTGCATACAGCCATGGCAAATTCGCAACTGGTCTGGACGATGATTGTGCGCTCCACTTTCGAAAATTGTTTGAACCAAACGGCTGTGCACCATCAAATAAACATGTGTTCCTTCATCAATTGGTAAAACCAACCAAACACAAAGCTGAATCCACCAGCAGATGCCGCAGCATCAAGAGCGCGGAAACAAACACGCAGCCACCGGCAAGGAAATGGTTTCCAGCATCAAGACCGGAGAGAAAACCTTCTGCGCCAGCCCCCCTAAGCCACCTGCGCGCCGCACACATGCTTGTATGCGCAGCACACACACACACACAGCAAAGATGCGCAAACACAGTGGAAGCAAGAAAGCAAATGCGCGCACACGAGGAACACACATGTGGGCACGTGCGCAGCTGAAACACACTATTTTTGAGGCGTAATCCCAATATGTAAATCAACAACAAATGTGTCCGCTTCTTTCTGGTGACCAAAACTCAAACATAGTGAACTTGAACAGTCGTGCAGCATCAGCCTGTCTGCACGGTCTGGTTGGCCGATTGGCCAGGGTAACTGAATAAGCGTATGGTTTGGTTGAACCAAGCCCTTCCGTACCTGGTCTTGTCTGAAGAACTGTCTGGCAAGGGAAGACTAAACCCTCAACAATCAATGAGGCTTTTAGAGTTGATACGGCTTCTCCGCCCATGCGCCAACTATCAGACCCCATGATGACAGCACCTGTCAAGCACGACTGCGCCAGCGCAGGCTCTCGGAAATGCCCTGACTCCTGCTAACAGAATCGCGCAGCTTTTCCGCATATGAGAGTACACAAAGGAAATTCAAGCCAACCCAGCTGTACAATAGGCGACTCTTTCCTGCGAGGCGAATTCAACCTGGCCGGCTACTAACTTGACTTGGCAGGTCAGAAGCATGGCGTGAACTCGCGAAGCGGCATTGGAAGCATGCCATTCGGCCCTTCAAAATTGGGGCACAGCATTGGGATCTGAATTCAAATGCCCCCATGCCAAATGTGCCGAAGATTGCTTGGACGGCTGGCAAATAGCAGCTATCTCAAGTCTGCACTCGGAGAGCCTCTGATTCACTAATTGGGTTGCAAAGCTAAACTGCATCACGTCCGTGATCTCAGAGGCTCCCAAAGCTGGAACTGGAGCCTGCAACTCATGAAAATTTGAACCTGTTCGAAGTATATGAATGCCTGCCAACTTTCGGGCAGAGTCACTCCTCCTTTTCCGGACTTCCAACTTTTGGGCCTCTCCAGTGCGCCGCTCAGACCGCCGTCAGCTTCTCCGGGACTGCGGTGTGCTCCTCCAAGATCTGCTTCAGCCTCTCTCCGGACATGGTCTCCACCTGCAAAATGCGAAATGGCGTTTGCAAAGAGACGAACCGCATGGATTCCCGGGAGTGGTAAGGGATGCTGCTGCAATGCGTGTACATATATATATATATATATGTATACTGTACGTACATGCGTGTGTGTGTGTGTGTGTGTGTGTCGCATCTGTTTCTGTGTCTCTGTCCTTCTCCACGTGTCTCTGTCTCTGTCCGTGTATCTGGCTGTCTCTGTCTGCCTGTCTGTCCGTCCGCCCGTCTGTCTGCCTGTCTGTCCGTCCGTCCGTCCGTCTGTCTGTCTGTCTGTATGTATGCGTGTGCGTGCGTCATTGGCATATATGTTCATACATGTGCGTACTATGTACATGCATGTATATGATTTACGTGGATGGGCATTTGCGGATATCTATGTATGTTTGGGTGTGTCATTCTTTGCCACAAGTCTTGACAAATGAGAGGTAGGACGGCAGCTGTTGTCAAATGCTGTCCGGCAATCCCCAAGGACCTCTGCGATTCCGAGCGATCCCTCTGGCTGTCCGGCAATCCCTAAGGACCTCTGCGATTTCGAGCGATCCCTCTGGCAATCTCCAGCCAACCCTAAGCGAAACCTAGATCTTTCTAAAGCAGCCCTAAACCAGCCCTTGACAAATCCCAAACCAACCCTAAACCATCACGCAGCTTTCATTCAGGGTGTCCATCATTTCTCTCCCACAAATGATTTATGCACCCGCGACAACACTTCGTCAATGGAATTACGGAGCTACCGGAGCCCTTTGCACGGTACCCCTGATTTCCACTGGACTGTGAGGGATCCCTTCCTGCGCTCAACAGAATTTCCATTGTTTTCCCCCAAGACTTCAACAGCAAATCAATGCAGGATTTGGAGTCTAACTTAGGGATTGCAACCAAAGAATGGCTATGAATTTCAATGGGGAGCACATTCAGCCATGAATGCCCACGCAGATGATCCTGGGCTAGCGGATCTTGCGCATTTGGTGCCTCGCAAAGCTCGTGGGCAATCTTGTCCAAGACGGCCCGATGCTCGGCGAGCAGAGTTAGGGCCCTCAGGTAGCACCTCAGTGGCAAACCTGACCTGAGTATGAATCTGAATTGGCTAAATCCTTTGGTGGACAGCAGAAACCCATGGGGGTGTCCATCCACCACATGGTAGCGTATTCTCTATTGATATTCATATATTGATATTCATAGCCACCTCAGTTTCCCAGCCACAAACATCCCGCCAGGGTTTCTCCATGGGTGTCAATCCCAATACGTATACAGCACCGACACCTGTGGACACTGTTCTTTTGGGGAAGCCCTGAGTTCTGACAAGAGTTGTTCCCTCATGTTTCACAAGTAACATCATGTCCCACAAGACATTGTGTGTTTCTTCACAAGTCTCAAGACACTTGTGAGAAACGGGTGGGATTTGAAGAAAAACAAGTGCGTTTAGGTTTAGGATGTTTAGGGTTGAGGTTTAGGGATTTAGGGCTTAGGCTTCGGTTTGGGCTTCGGGTTCTTCAGGTTTAGGTTTAGGGTTCGTAGGGTTTAGTTTTAGGGTTGCGGTTTAGGGTTTTAGGGCTTAGGTTTCGTGTCTTTAGGGTTTAGGTTATGGTTTGGTTTGGGTTTAGGTTTAGGGTTTTTAGTGTCTAGTTTTGGGCTTTTGGGGTTTTGGTTGTGGGGGCCGGGTGTTTGAGGTTTAGGTTTAGGGCTTTAGGGTTTAGGATTGGGGCTTGGGTTTGGGTTTGGTGTTTAGGCAAGAGCTCCCAACATCTGACCAGGCATTCCGGCTCTCACAGATTGAAAAAATGGAGACACGACTCGTGAGAAACGACTCGTGAGAAACGACTCGTGAGAAACCAGGAGATTTGACTTGTGAGAAGCGAGTGAGCATCCTTTGGGATGTTTGTTAACACACTCACACGCCAGGTCAATCTAAACTCCTGATGTGGGTGCGAAATTGCTCAGAGGTTGATGACCGTGCGTGCCAACCCCAAGTCAAGTTGACATTGAACGTGGCACAGATGTACTGTACAGCTTCCAAGTGTTGTACTTTCTGAGATCTACATTTCTACTGACGCCCCCCCAAGTAATTCTGAGAACTTAAACTGCAACAACTTTAAGTGCCCCATGTCCGAGTTTCCCCCAATCCAAGCGGCTCATCCGAGATGGCCTTCACCGCCCCGTCGATCTCGCTGCTCAATGCCTCGGAGTAGCTCGGGCCCATCATGCCCCCCTCGTCGATGGCGATGGAGCCCACCTGGCATCGCGTCTTTTTCCCAGTTGTTTGCCAAAGAAACAAAAGCAAGCATACCATGAAGAGTGCCAAGACCAACCAACAAGAATCATGGTGGAAAAGGTCGCCCTGCACAAGGTGTTTGATGGTTGGGACCATCCGTACACTTGTGGAGTTACTCATGGACCGCAAATGACTTGACTCAAATGCCCAAGGGTTTTGGGTGCAATTCTAGGGTGAAATGCGCAAAAGTCCTCGGGCTGGAATCGGAGAGGACGCTGCAGATTGCATTTCGGTCACTCGATGCATCACCACTCTGAAAGTCAGCACATTCCCACAAGCAACCACTGCCCAAGCTTCTGCAGCCCAGCACCATTGGAGGTGACAGCACATGTGCCAAAAAGTAGTCAGGGTATTCCAAATTTAAGCAAGTGTCAAGTGTCGGGTAGAACCGCGTATTATCAATGGCTAGTAGGTGTTGTGGACGCTGCTCAGCTGTGGACACCTTGTGGGTCTCAATGCTTGAGGTTATGAGCTCTCCCCCACCAAATGGCTGCCCGTTTCCCCTGGGGGTTGGGTCATTTCATGAAGGGAATAATCACTGAGTGGGAATGTACTAGAAACAATGATGCAAATTCTACAGCTTGCCATAAAAAAGGGAAGCGATCATCCTACCCACGCAACTTCTCAGCGACGTTCCATGCCTGGGACATGCCGAACTGTGTGACCATGGCCCGGGCCATGCGTTCCACCTGGCGGGCCGAAGCAAAGCTGCACACATCTATGTCCCCGTACAAAAAGGAGCACTCTGATTTGGAAGTTGCTCTTTGTTCAGGGCCAGCAAACAGGCACTGGAGGTCTGGGATATAAAGAGCAGCTGAGCTACCAAGATCCTGCAAATGAGCTATGTGCTGAGGCCAACCAGCTTGCCAGCTGATGTCGGGCTTGCCAAACTGGCTCTGCCGGTTTGCATAAATGGGCACGACCTGCTCCTGCAAAACTTACACACGCGCTCACACGTCAGGCGTGGGAAAGAGCAATCCAGCAACATGGATGCACAATTCCTCAGCTTCATTCCAAGATGCCCCCCATGCCAATTCATTTAGTCTGCTCCAAGGCCCTGGAAGATGGGAGTTGAGTGACATTCTTTCTTCTCGACAAGGCCACAGATTGTGTCCCACTGGACTGCAAGAGCGTACGGGAACCTGTTGCTCAACTCTCAACAGTATGTGGGTCTTTTATTTGGGTATCCCAGTAAAGCTTTGGAACTGCGAAACAAAACGCATTTGTGTATGTTGCCTCGTCAAGGCCTAAATGAGGCATGGTCAAAATCACTCAACCTGGGACAAATCGCTTCTGGTGTCTGTTGACATTGACCAAACCTATGACCCCACGGATCGGAATCGCCTGCTGGAGGTCTCCGCTGGCCCCAGTGGTGACCTGGTCGGTGCCGAAGACCAGCTGCTCCGCTGCGCGGCCCCCCAAAGCGCCCGCGATGCGCGCCTGCGCATAGAAGGCTGGATTAGGGAAATCAAGCTTACGGAGACCTTGATGGGGACCCCTTTTCGGAATTTGCCAGGGAAGCCACAATAAAAACCCCAGCCACTACCGTCTATTGGGACACTCTGTGCGAATATTTTCACTGGTGTTGGTCTATTTTCCCGGCTTCTCTATGCCACCCACTTGCCTTCAGCATGGCCGCTGAAATGAGGCTCTGGTCCTCCCCAGGGGTGAACCAGGTGAGGCCTTTGGCCTGGCCACGGGGGATCAGCGTCACCTTGTTCACCTGGCAGTCGCAGTTTCGGTAGGCAATGCCAGCCGCACATGCAGAAGGAAGAAACGTACCGACCTGCCCACCCTCACCCTCTGTGGGAATTTGGGGAGTTCCTTGCAGCGTCCCTTTGAAAATTTAAGTCATCTGGAAATAGTGAGGAATAATCTGTGGGGGTGCCACAACTGGGACAAGCCATGTGCTAACTGATTGCTACTCACAAAACCTGGACTCGAACCCTCTATCCGATGCAACCTCGCAGGGCTGACCGGGTCATGGTATGGCAGCATCGTGCCCACCAGAGCATGGCCTGCCTCGTGATAGGCCACCAGCTTCCTTGGACATGCTCAAAAGAGTCACGATTGGCGAGTCCCCTGCACATTAGCACAAAAAAGAGTTGGTCCCCCCTCAAAAAAATTGCAGTCTGCAGGAGAGCATCCTACACGTGAGAAACGTGCGTGTTTCATTCTCTGGCATCATGCTTGGGGTTAGGTTTTGTGAGCGAACCACACTTGAACTCTACCCTGATGCTGTTTGAGTGATGCAAGCTTCAGAGTTGGCTACGCCTCCTTTGAAAAACAAACATGGTCTTCCAGGGCCCCCCTGCAGGTTCTACGTTCGCTTTTCGTGAGAGTTCCTTGCTGAGTGGCTTGGAGGCGCTGTCGGGCATAGCCCGGCCCTCGAGGCCAGCGATGACTCGGTCAGTTGCGTCGTTGATCTCCTAAGTGAGCTGCCTGCTTACCCCTTTGCCAACAATGGGGGGCAACAAAATGGATGGTTGAACATCACCCCTTAAAAGGAGCACCCTCTTTCCAACACTACAGTCGTCCAAAACCCTTCTGTCAGCTTCCATGTTCGTTGGACAAAGAGCAAGCATTAAAGCCGGAAAGGTCTCGCTAAGTCCTTGCATTTTGGATGTACAATACACAAGCAACGGTCCATTTTCAGGGAAGGTTATATTTGATTACATGACCTTCCCTGAAAATGTAATCAAACGCAAGGTTCAACCATGGCAAATATGTTAGTACTATCATTACTTGTCTCTTTTATACGAGACGCCTAGTGATTGGCCAAGTGGGCCCATGCCTGCAACAGTGTGGCCGGTTGTAAATATGTGTTCAGCCTTTCTACATGTCAAGTTTGTCTCCTACAGATTTGCCTGGCAAAAAAAAAGAGCAACCATGAAACAGCTCAGCTTAGCTTGCGACAGCTTCCAACGGTCATGCCAGGTCTCCCGCATGGTGATGCCAGTCTTGTTGCGCCTCGCCGCCAGGATGGCCGACTCGTTCATGAGATTCTCGAGATCTGCTCCGCTGAAGCCAGCCGTGCGCTTGGCGATGTCCAGAAGCGTCACCTCAGGCAAAGAGCTGCTACGAGAATCCAAATACTGCATTGTATTTCTTTAAATAAAGAAAAAAAAGAAAAAAAAACTATATAACAATAGCAGTAACAGTCATAATCAAGTTGATAAGTGTTACTTGTGACTGCAAGTAAAACGTATTCTAAGATTTATGTTATTTAGCTTTGGAGAGTCCAGTTCAAGGAAAAATGGCCTTGAAAGACCCCCCAGTCAAGTTCCATGGCAGTGTGGATGAGAGGGCACTCATTTTGACCAACAACTAAGCAGGAAATCATTCACGTTTGCGGAACCACCCACCCCAATCTGTCTGCGATGGTTCTTGTTTTTGTTTGCATCATTTTGTTGCACAAAGAAGCGTGCAAAAGCGAGCACAATGCGTAGGGATCATGCTTCACGTGACTTGCCTCAGTCACTTGGTGTTTCTAGCAAAGCCGAAAGTATGTAGCTGCCTATGCACCTGGCCGCAATTGCTCCTCAACCAAAGTGTTGGCAAAACCTGTTTACCCAGCATTTAAGCGCACAAGCAACGTGTTAACAGCCGTGCAAAACTCCAAGGTTGGCCAACCCCATGCCTCTTCTGCCAGCTTCTTGTTCTTTACATGCACATTCAGGATCTGCTCCCGGCCCTGCACATCTGGCAGACCCACGGTGACCCGGCGGTCGAAACGACCCGGCCGCAGCAAGGCCTGGTCCAAGATGTCCTAAGATTCCAGCAGCAAGCGAAGTGAGCCACAATCAAAGCCCAGGGTAGGAAGTTAGTCGGGGACAGTCCTTGCCACAAATAGGTGCGGCCTTTCATTATCTTCATGGTTTTGGAATTGTTTTGGGCAAGGACATTCTCCAACGCAGGCTGTAAATGCCGATGCCTGCTCGAAGCAATGTGATTTGCTGTGCCGTTTCAAAAAATGAGAACGCTGGCTGCCGTGATGACTTGCATCTCATGTGTCCGTCTTTTTGGGCACTCAGAACAAGCACCGAGGCCGTGCGTACATGCTTCCGAGTGTCCGCACGATTGGTGGCAGCAACTACAATGACGCCGCTGTTGCCTTCAAAGCCATCCATCTCAGTGAGGATCTGGTTCCTTGGCTATGGGCTTGGGAAAGCTTCCAAACTGGGGTCTTGCCAGCCTGCCTCTTCAGTCTCAATAAGCAAGGCTTTCGGCCTTGGCTTACAGTGTTACAGCAGCAATGCCGGATATACGAACTGCCGAATTGTGTGTGTGTGTGCGTGTGATGTTGATGCTGAAATCCCTCTGTCACCATAGTGGGGCGTTCAAACTGCAAACACGCTCAATGGGTGAATAAACCTCAAATAAACCACAAATGTCGCTGCAAACTTGTTGCTGAATGTTCCGCTTTCAACCAAAAAGCTGGCTGCTGGTTCCATTACAATGCCATGAGGGGCATGAGTCTGTGAAGCAAGCAAGTGTGCAACATGCTTGTTTCACTATGCTGATGCCTGGTTTAGGAGGAACCTATCTGAATGCAGACAATTGTCCAGGCGTAAAGCCATTCCTATCACTCATAGTTGGCACATCCCTTGTCGATCCGCCACCCCGCATGATGCCTGATGAATCCTGCGGCTCCAAAGCAGTATCGCAAAGTCAAAAAAAGATGATTTGACTTTGGACCCGTTTGGAGCACCAATTAGGCTGCCAACATTTGGAGTCTGATTCTCCAGGCTTGCACCCACCCTTTTTGGTGTTCAACTCTCCCATGGAGCCGGCACATCCAAGTTTCAAGGTCTGCTCGCGCTCGTCATTGCCGCCTCCCATGCCGGCGCCGCGCTGTCGGCCGATGGCGTCGAGCTCGTCGATGAAGACGATGCACGGGGAGTTCTCCTTGGCCTGAGACCCAAAGCACCAGGATACCAGGATCCATCCGTTGGGTTCCATCTGTGGCGAGAGACACTCTGATAAATGTGGTTTGGCCAAATTACTATAGTTCCCCACCAGGATCGTTTTTGAATCCAGCTGCGATTGCAAGAGCGCGCACCGGCCGCACCAGGTTTCGAGTCCCCAACCCACCTGCTTTCGGGTACACAAACCAACAAGTCATAAACAGGGAGGTCAAAATTCAAGTTTGAAGCATCCCAACATGGTTGACCGCTGGATGGTCACAGAGATTCCAGGTTGCAGCGCAAAAGAAGGCGAATTTTCCTGCAAATCTCATTCAGTGTAGATCGGATTATTGAGACGAACGATCGATTCATCTCAACCCGCGTGCTCTTGAGCTCATTCCATGCCATCTGTCCCTCTCAGGAACATGGGCAGCAGACCCCAGACCACCAGGATATGTGCAACAACTAGGCCAAAAAGCCCCTAGATTTGACGCGTGCAACATCCAACTATGGCCCTTTGGATTCCCTTCCAAACCCCAACAAAGGGCAGCATCGAGTCAAAACCAGGACATGCTAGCCATTCGCATCCCAAGAAACCTCGGCCTGCCTCAAGGTTTCGGCCAAAATCCTGGCACAAGTTGGCAAAACATAGGTTATCGGCTTCCGGCAAGTAAACCAAAACAAACCGTTCACCAACTTTCCACCCACGCTCCAGCTGCCTGCTTGAAGATGTCGCGGACCCGTGAGGCGCCCACCCCGACAAAGAGCTCGATGAACTCGGAGGCGGAGGCCTGGATTTCATTCGAACTACCAACAGCTCAAAACAAACAAGGCAGAAAACGCCAGCAAGGGGAAGCAGGAGCATTCAAGGGCACGCGCTGCCAAAAAGAGACAAACGTGATCGATCCGAGGTCAGCGTTTGGCATCTCGTATTCCTGCCCATCCCCCAATTGCATCTTTTTGTTTGCCTTGGCCCTTCGCGCCAAGGACATCCGGCAGCTTAATAGAAGCACCCAATAGCACGCTACAAAAGGCGAGTCACCAAGCTCTGATGGGATGGGCGCCGCCGGCCTGTTGCCTCAACAAAACATGCAGAGGGCTTCAAATGTCCTCGAATTGAGGCTGAAAGCAATGCATCCCATGCTTCCCCCTCGGGAAACAAAAGGACAATTTCCACATGCTAAACACAGCCATCTGTGGACAGGCTCGTGGGAGGCGAGCTGAACATCAAAATTATTCCGCACAGAGTAATAGGCCACGGTTGTCATGACCATTCTGCTACATAACACCCTGCATCTCCAGCTTCTCTTGAGCCAGGGCGACTGCACGACGATCCTTGGGATAGGTGCAGTGCGCCAGGCAGTAGAACAAGAAGCACACGGCGAATGACACCAGGGAGACCCAAAACACACCTGAGGCCAGGCTGTGGGCGTCCTGGGGCGAGCACTCCTTCTGGTTGGCGCTCTCCGAGTCGAAGCCGAAGATCTTGTCCGTGAGCCACCCCACTGCAGGCTGGCCGAAGGCGCCGAAGGTTCCTTCAATGCACCGGTCCAGCGCGTAAATATAGCTGTAGCTCTCTCTCGGGACGACGTCGCTGAACATCTTGTTGTTCATGACCATGTTCCAGGCGATGAGGATGCCGGTGACAAGGAAGGCCGCACAGTAGGAGCCAAACAGCCCGGGGGTGTCGATATCCATATCACCAAGACCGAACAGGATGAACGCGAAGAGTGGAATGGACGCGCCCACCGAGAACTGGCAGATCGTCGGAGGGCCATGATCCGGGCAGCGCCTGAAGACCATGTCCAGCAAGAAGCCCCCGATGATGCTGGAAAAGGCAGTGCCAATATTGAAGAAGGCATAGATGGTGGCAGCCTGCTGGTTGGAAAAGCAGTTCAGCTCCAGCCACATGGTCAAGTAGCTGAACGCAAACCAGGGTGCAGTGCCAAAGACTCCCTGCCCGATGATCACCAGGAAGGTGGGGAGGCAAAAGATCTTGCTGAGCTTTGGAGTCTCTTGGATGATGATCGCCAGCATTGTGCGTTGGTCTCTCTCCTTGGTCTCCTTGACAAAGATGCCAACTGCAACACCCACAAAGGCGCTTACGATCGCAATCACAAGCAGCGCAAATTGCCAGCCCGCGATGCTGCCCACCTGTGTGCTGGCCACAGTGGTGGCAAAGGCAGTAAAGGCAGTCTGGCCCAGCTGGCCCGTGAAGATCAAGCACCCGAAGGCCTTCCCCCGTCCGTAAATGCCGCTCTTGTCTGCGACGAGGCTGAAGAGCAGAGGCTGGACAATTCCAAGGCCAATGCCATTCACAGCCCGGAAGATGGTCATACAAAGCAAATCAGGTGAGAAGGCACAGCCGATGAGGCCTACGGCCCAAATCATGCTACCAGCGAGGATGAGCTGCGGCCGTGGGAGGCGGTCGGCAAGGAAGCCCGCGGGCAGGGCGAAGACGGATTCAAAGATGCCCCGCACGAGACCCAGGTTGCTGAGATCAGCTGGTGAGAGGTTGAAGTGCTTGGCAATCTCTGTGTAAACTGCTGGCAGGGCCATGTTGTCAGTGTTCCACATGACCATGACCATGTTCAGGCACGCCATCTGCAGCAACCAGCTCCACCAGCTCTCCTGTGGCTGCTTCTTAGTGTCTGCAGCATCAGACCATTGTTGATTGTCTGAGGCTGCCTTGGCGCTGCCCGAGTCAACTGCAACTGGCTGGTGGCTCGCCATGGCAGGACACGCAGAGGTCTGTGAGCGCAAATCGTTCGAGCCAAAATTGCTATGCCACCAAGCCGGACTCCCGAATCCAACAGCTTCAGAGTTGGCCCAAAAACTGTCCTGGGCCCGAAACTGGGCATCGAACGGTTTGCCACTGGCCTGGATGAAGGGCACCTTGGCTTCCCCCGCCAACGCCTTGGCCATGAGGGTCTTGCCTGGGCCAGGTCCAGTGGCTTTCCGCCGAGTCTATGCTTGAAAATGAGTATATATATATATATATATGAATATATATATATATATATGTGTCAACACAGGGGACCCCCCGGCTTTCCTTTTGCTTTCCCGTTCAACCACCCCGATAATGGGACCTTTTTTGAGGGTACCCTGTTCAACGGCTGGCTCGACGGGAAATCAAAAGCAGATGGATCCCTGGAAAAGGAAAACCAAAGGACCCAACCCCTTTCACACATGTTCGACCACAACGGCGGCCGTCTTCAAAACCCTTTGGTCTAGTGATTTCGTGGCCGCAGGGAGGACAACCATCGCTCCAGGGGAAGGTGCATATTTGATCTAAGATCTGTGCTGTTGATTCATGCCCCAGTGCATGATGGTGGCATGCCGCTTTACCTTTTGGTTTATACGCCAACCAAAAAGGTTGCAGGTCGAAAGAGCCTTCGCCCCGAACTCCTCCCCTCTTGCGTCGAGGCGCCCGTGCCCGGAGGGCCACTCAGCAGGACGCCTCGAGGGATCTTGGCGCCCACCTTCACGAAGCGCTCGGGCGCCCGTAGGAAGTCCACGATCTCCGTCAGCTCCTTCCAGGTGCAAGAACTGTTGCAACCAAACCCATGTTGGAAATCGCCCTTCAGGGAAAAAACGAAAGTAGGCGCTGTATAAGTAGTTCGGTGGTTTATATATGACATGGTGCCAGTTTGTTGAAACAGTTTGGTGATTTAGTTAAGTGGTTTAAACAAGGGATTGAATCGCCCACCTGCTTGGCCTCCTCGATGCCTGCCACATCCTCGAACTTTACACCTGAAGGCCGAAGGGGAGGACTTGGGCTGGGCAGCCGGGGGAGCCACTTGCCTTCACTTCCTTCCCACTCATTGATAGACATTAAGTGCTTTTGGTGGAGACCGGTGAGAGGGCGTGAGGATTTGTTTAGTTGATCTCAAGTCTGGAAGCGTGAAGGACACTTGTTCGATTGTCTCTGTGAGACCTGTTGATCTTCTCAGTCACCGGCACCCACATCCCAAATCCACTCATAAACTTATTCATCTGGGGTGTATTCAATCTTAAGCCGCTGACATTAAGATTCTGTATCACAAGAAGAAGCTGCTTAACGACAGGGACAGATGAAGCTTGCCGAAGGAAACCGTCTCTTGTATCAAATGTTGCTGTCAACGCTGCTTCATCTTCCTTCGTGTTCATCCATGATTATCTTCCGACCGCAACCAGGAAGGTGAGAGACAGACTGGCCACTGCATCTGAACATTGTCAAGGCAAGGATTGCATAGATTCAATGAGACTTGGTATTTGGGAACTTGTCCCGAATGTCATCCGTTCCATGTGTCTTGAGGACAAATATGAGAAGAACAGGCGGCTCCTATTAAGACATGTAAAACGCATAGATTCTTCATGACGTGATTGGTTCAGATTCAAATTGAAAGGACTGGCGAGAATAAGAACAATTGGACCTTCTTGGGTGCGATAGCTGCATTAACGTAATCGAAGCTTTCACTGATCGCGCCCATCGAACCAAGCAGCACTGGTGGTCAGGTAACTGATAGCATGATCTTTCTCGAGAACAGAGTTTGTACCATTTTGACTGGAAACTGCAAGACACACGCCCTACTAAGTCATGGGGCCACAACTAGCACAATGAAACGGACAACTGAAACGGACAACGTGCTGGGAAATGCTGCATCCTGTTGCGCTTTTGCACCTTTTCGAGCTTTCTGATACGAGGCGGGATCGAAGTTACTTGTTTCCCCAAAAGGGATTCGACAATTTATGAGTCCCTTGGAAATCTAGTAAGGCCCCCATGTCCCTCCCGGTTGACGATAAACTACTGGACATCTGAACCAACCTCATAATCTCATGATGTGTGTCTGCTTGCGCCACTGTTGCCAGTTCCCAGGCGCCGGTCTCCGGCGTCATCATGATCTGCGCTTTCTGGTTCATGCCCGGGATGCCGCCGGTGCCAGGGCCCCTGGACCAGGCTTGGGCAATTTGTTGTTTGAACAACCGGGCCCTAGTCACTTTTTAATGGGAGACCAGAAGGAGGCTTGCTTCCCAAAAGAATGGTTTCAGCCAAAGTTTTAGCAAGGGATTGGCCCAACGGCCTGGAGCGCAATTAGATTAGACCTTAGCGAGGGGTATTGCCCATCCCTGGCCTGGACCGCATATACAGCAACCCTCCGATGAGCAGAAGCGGCAGAGCGGCATCGCCCAGCGCGCCCAGCAGAGGGTTGGGCTTCTCAGGCGTGTGGACCTCGATCTGGATCCTGAGATACGAGCGTGAGGCAAGCGGACAAGTCCTTTTTGAGAGTATCATGTTTGGTTGTTGTAAAGGCAAACCAAAACAAAACACCCAGTTTGGGATTCCCTCATTTGAAGATCCAAGGCAAGTGGAGAGCAAGTTCCGACATGTCTGTCAGTTGATCATTGGGTTGGTTTTTTTTTTAATTAACAAGCGCCATCCTCTCTTCATAGTTTTCTGCATTGGACTAAAGGGCAAAACGGCGGCCGTGCTTCTCATCTTGCAAAACGTAAGGTAGAAAAGGTGAGAGCGGTCACCCTGTAGTTCCCTTGGGGTATCCCTCAAAACACTAAAGGTTCAAAGAAGGCAAAAGTTGAGCTGACAAGTAGTGGCAAGAGGGCCGGAAAAAAGAGCATTGTGCTTTGATACAAGGTAAAGTAGCCATTCTAATGACTTGAGCTGCGGCCAACATTCGGAGTATCCCAACTGACATGGGATTTTGGTGAGTCCCCATTTCTCAACGGAAGTTTGGGGATCGTGCGCACGTACGTCCCCTTTGGAGTAGATAACAGTTGTCTTTGGACCCGGATTTAGGCCCTTAGTTACTCTCACAGCAAGCAGCTGCTTGGCCAAGAGCTTGTTGATGAGTCCGGTGCCCGGCGGCAGCTCTGCCACCAGCTGCTGCTGCCTGCCCGCCACGCTCACCACCCCTGTGCGACCCTTGTCGTAGAAGTCCACGCGGTCCACCTGACCCTCCTCAGCGCTGAAACGCGAGACATATGTTTTCAAGTCATGTTCTTTTGCCGAGCTGGTTTGCAAAGCCGGCTTGATACAGCATCTTACATGGTGCAAGTTGCTCCATGCTTTCTGTTGCAACAGAAACAACGTGCGGGCCAGGTTCATCCACCAGCTGCAGCAAATTCGAGTAGCTGACCCTGTCCACAGGCGATGCTGCGATCTCTCGTGCTGGGGCCGCCTGCTGGATTGGGGCTATGTCTGGCAAAGCAGCCTCGGCCGAGGCTGGCACCTCGGCGGAGGCTGGGATAGGAGCTGCAGTGGATGCCAAAGCCACTAGAAAAGAGGCAGCAGCAGCTTGGATCGCCTGCAACAGGGGAAATACAAGCAATACAATCCCCTGCCCCAACAAATCCAAGTATTCAAAGGCCATCCCGCCACAAGCACCTTATTTAGAAAAGCCATGAAAGCCCTTGGCAACAAAAGGTCCTTGGACTTGTGCCGTCCCGCGCCTGCTCTGGCAGCGCTGTACCCTGCGAGTCGGCCACCTGCTGCACCTTGCGCAGCACCTCATCGCTGGTGCACTCGCTTGCGGCCTCCACCCCCTCGGTGGCAAGGCCGTACCGCGCCACCGCGCTCCTGGCTGCCCGGCTGCGCAGCATAGGCAAAGCGCGGCTTCCGCAAAAGCCAGGTCTCCTTTGGCCCCGGACCTGGTGGACTTGCGCTGGCAGCGCGGCGCGGCTGGTGCCGGTGTTTTCGGCGGCTTCACCAATGTAGGCCGCAGTGGCCATCTGCTGCGCCATGACCAACTTGCCTTCAGCCATAAAGCCCAGTTAAATGACGATTGTTCAAACAAGCTTCAACCAAGCCGTCAACCAACCCTGCCTTCAATCGCAGCCTTGTTGATCATCCTGACCAACTCTTCACCACCAACCTTCTCCTGCTCCATCAAGGTCTTGGCAAGCTCATCCAGCAGGTACATGTTGTCAGTGAGAAGCTTCATCCCACGCTTGTACTGCTCATCCACTATGCGCTTCACCTCCAAGGATTGGACTCTAATTGCAAAACTGGAATCGGGATGTTCAGATGTTCGATTCCCGCATGCACAATGGCAGCTTCGACCAGGCCACCATCATGTTGCATTCTTCCATTGGATGACTCGCCCCTGGGCCGTTTGTCCCTTGGCCCCCCACATTCACCCAGATTCGCCCCCGCCTCATCATCCACCTGCTGCTTCAAGGCCTGCGACATGGGGGGCGCGCTCTGACCCATGAAGTCTCGGCCCATGAAGGGACCGCCCCCCTGTTGGCCGCCCAACAGCCGCTGGCCGATCGCTGGGGACATGCCCAGCGACATCACCATCCTCAGCAATCTATGCCCTGTCAATCGGAAATGGAAAACTTGCTCCTTCTTTGAGCGTGCCCCTTTTTCGCTGAGAGGCCATCCAAAATTGGGCGGGGGCTCCCTCATTGACAAGAACAAAAACACTTGATTTTTGTTTGGATGAATGACGACCAGGGAGATCCCCACTCCGTACTTAAGTGTATAGGGAGTGATCCCAGTCTACATCCATATGGTTCTCTCTTGCTGGAAGATGGGAAAACACATATTCTCAACGGGACCACCTATTTGGGTCCCTCATTTAGAGACAAACCCACCTGTTGTTTATTGGTTGCTGTTGAAGATGGAACAACGCCAATCCCTTGGGGTCGCAAAGTTTTGACACAAACCCAATTGGCCTGTTTGCAAAAAGGACCTTGGTTTCGCAAACAGGCCAATGCTTTCTGGCATCATGTCAGTAAAAAACACTTCACACACACACACACACACGCTTGGAAGCTGCACCCCATGTTCCATTTGTCAGATGATTGCAAAAGCGAGATTCAAAAGGACGGACAGGCCTCTAGCCTTCAAGGCACGTCAGTTGGATTCAACTTTGCAAGCTCAACTTAGGAACATGATTGGGTGTCTCCTCTGCAAAATAATGAAGGTGGCAGGGGCGATCACTGCAAACAAAAAGAGGCATGCGGCCTGGGCGCTGCTTGGCCACCTGCGTGCACTGCTGGAAGTCGTTGGAGGCCCCTGTGGTGACATTGTCCTTGCCGTTGATGATCTCCTCCAGGCTTGGCAATTCAAGCCACTGGTCTGAACTCACTCCTATGGATTTAAATTACGGCTTAACTGTGGGTTAAGTACCACAGGGTGGTTTGAACAATGGTTGGGCAATACCCCCTTCTAAACTGGGACAAAACCCATATCCTTCAAATACCCGCTAAACAAGCCCTTAGCCCCCAGTTCAAGCCATGGCTCAAACCACCAACTGTTGTTTTCCTTAGAGTTTGGGCGATTCAAGCCCTGGTTTGAACATGGGACTAAGCCCCTATTCTTGAAACATCCCTTCAACGGGAGCTTCTAATCACGAAAAAAACACTCCTGGCGTCCCTTCAAAGAAAGCCCGGGTCTGGTTTGGGGGTTGTCAAGCATATGGTCCTTTTTGGACCCCTGCGCTGCCGTTTAAAGGGATAGCCCCACTTGTTGAAACAGAATTTGCAGCGAAACCCCAGGTCTCCTCCGCCAATCGCCCGCCCAGCGCCACGCACATCCGGTTCTCCAGAAACTCCTCAGAAAAGAATCGAAACCACCCATCAAGGCCTAGTTGGGTGTGGCTTTTTTCAGAAATATTTTTCGAGGTTGGGAAGTGGAAAAATATACTTGTTGAGTTGGGTTTTGGGAGTGGATTAAAGGATGGACAAACACGACTGTCCAAAATCATCTGAAGCACCCCGATACTTATAAATATTATATTCATAGAAATAATCTCATGAAAGTGACCGATGTCACATATTAATAAACCAGGACACTACACCCGGAGGTTCACTTAATATTTGCTGCCCATCAACAAGTGGGTTTCAATGCCTGGGGGGCGAGAAAAAATGCTACCCTGGCAACTACCAATCTTCACTTCGGATTAATGCGGAGGACACATCCAAGGAATGCCCCTAAAACAGACTAATCCTTCACTACAGGGCAGCCACCCTGATTAGTATGGTCCTCCGGATTAATCCGAAGTTGATGCTAAAGGCAGCTCTTCCTCTACCTCGAATTCAGAAAAACGAACATCCGGAAGCCGCGCCTTGGTGTAGAGCCCAGAATCCAGGCGATCTTCCGAGGGGGTGAAGATGGTCACACCACCCGCAGGTCCCCTGGGCACGATGCTGATCTTGGCGACGACGTCGTAGTCGTTCATCCTTGTGGCGCAAGCATCCTCCAAGATCCAACATACAGAACCACTATGAAACGAATCCTCAGAGCAGAGTTTAAGGTATGCTCCAAGGTTCTCAGACGACCCCTTCACAACATCTGGAACCCGCACGCTCTGTGGCCGCTCCGCCGTGAAACAACAGCACCAACCATTGTTCAGGATGGTACCAGAATTTAGTGCCGGCAGCGTTTAGCGGCTGCGTCCCACAAAAGCAGTCGGAAGCAAAAAGGGAAGAAACTGAGCCCGTGCCAAAAATTGCTGAAGCTGCCAAGCATCAATGCGCCCAAGATAGCATGGCCAGCCTCGTGATAGGCCACCAACCGCTTCTTCTTCTCACTCATCACGGCCTGAGGCGGCTTGCGCCCGCCAACGCGAAACGTGGCAGTGTCCGGCGCGGTTCCATGACAGGCAAAGGAGTATTGAAAATCCTAGATAAAGGTGTGAAGCGCGCATTGTGAGGTTCCATGAGAAACAAAAAACAAAATATGCACGTCAGACAATTCATGTTGATTCTTCTGCAGATTCTCAGGCCATAGCAATTGCTGTTGGCGCATACTGCGTAGCTTTGCAACCAACAAACTAGCAACAACAAGCAAAGAGGGTTGGCAGCTGGCAGCTTATGACTTTTCTGGGATGCCCTACCAATTTTGTGGGTGTTCCCCAGTCCAGTTTATAGCAACAAAAACCAGCTAAAAGACTGGGCCCCCATATTTGCTGAGAGCTGACTTGGGCCATGCAGACTGCTCAAAGCGCGATTCAAGAGGTCGCCAGCTGAAACAGGAATGTGAGCCATTGCCCTGGTTTGTGTTCGACATTGATTGAGTTCCCCAAATTTGGCGCTGGCTTGAAGGGCAGGTGTGACTGATGGCCAGGGCCATTGCCAGAAAAAATACGTGTGCAGCCATGTGACATCCTTTTTCTCCAAACCGATGGCGATCCTCTCCAGTGCGTTCGCAATGTCGTCCTGGTCAATCTCAGTCCTTAGAGTGTACAGCTGCATACCATATCTAAAACTAAAGAATGAGCAATCCGTCCATGTTTTCAGGGCTGATATTAACATGATGTTCTGGCACGTCAAGCAGAAACCAACAAATGACACCTCGACAAGCTCGGGCTGTCAGAGATCAAAAACAAGTGCGCAGACCAAATTGACTCCTAGCCAGGCGACGACAGCCTCAAAGAGGCAACAACAATGGCGCGACAACCACACCAGCAATAGCGATGAGAAAGAAAAAATGATAATGATGCCAACCATGTCCAGGATGATAGTGATCATGATGACGATCATGCTGATAGTCTTCGCGTGTAAACCTCCCAAAACCTGCAACCCAAAAGTCCCCCCGAACATCCAAGGCACTTGTTCTCGCGTGCCGCCACGATGGCGCCCTCGTTCAGCAAATTCGCCAAATCTGCGCCGGACATGCCGGGGGTCATCCGAGCCACAGCCGTGAGATCCACGCCTGCCAAGGCGGCAGGCGAAACGTGATGGTTGGGAGCATTGAAGCTTGGCCAGGCGGGACTAAGACCCCCGCAAAAGTTCAATTGAGCTGGTGAACATGGAGAATGAAGGAGACCCAAAGGGCAATGATTGGAAGGTGCTGGCAGGTTGAAGATCCCTACCCACAAAGGAAGGGGGCGCCGGGTCTCCCCAGTTCATTTGAGTCCCAGAATCATGCGGAAGTAGAACCATGAAATTCCAGGGGTCACTTCCCAAGTTCCATGTCTAAAGGGGCTTGGAGGATTGGAGGTGGCACCTTCAAAGATCTGAAAACGGGTCAGGAATCTGTTGGGAGGCATCTCCTCGTCGACCTCACTTGGATACTCAATAAGGTGAGCGTGCCCCATGTCATCCCCTTTAGTACGGTAGATGACAGTAAACATTGTCCATTGCTCTAGCATGTATCCGCAAAGTGGACCGATGCAAGGTATGCGGATGGATGTGTCCTGGTCTCCACCAAGTGCAGCATGGAGACGCCATTGTAAATGAGAAAAGATCTGCCCTGAAATTTGATAGGCAAGGCTGCTCTTGAACCACGCTCCACCAACCAACGTGGAATCAGACTCGAGGACCCGAAAAGGCCGTTTTTTCTCCGCAAGGACCCCTTGGTGGTTTCTATGTTGGTGGGTGGGAGGGTACATGACGAAGGGCGGGGGGGGGGACATTCTGGGGTGCAGCTCTAGTACAATTCTAGCACATGGCGAAGGGGGGAACATTCTGCAGCGCCGGCAAAGGGCGAGACTTGTTGCACTTCTTAGAAACACTTAGCTTCATTCCCCGGGACGTCCGCAAACATCTGCCTGGTGCCAGGTTCTTGCCCTTGGCATGAACCTTGAGGATCTCCTGGGCTCAACCCCTTCAAACCCCTGCCACCAGGCTCTCAGAAATGCCTGCTGTGCTCTTACGAAGTGAGGCCCGCGTTAAATTTCATGACCGACTTGGAAAGACATCCCCCAAAGACCGCTTTCTTTAGTCATGCATTTGTCTAGCCTGCATGATTACATTGGTCAAGCAATGTATGTGTGTGTGTGTGTGTCTGTGCATTTGGCACGAAAGAGTAGAGCAGTCGTCATGCAGTGTCCTACCAGCTGTGGCAAGGCAAGAATGCAACCTCTTTAGCACCGCCTTTGCTCTCTGGAGGGCAGCAGGAACAGACAACAATTGGAATGCAATGAAGGCCAATACCATCATGCTCTTTTGAAGTGCGCCTGATCCATCCTATCCGAGCCAAAAAGGAACACCACACCTGCTGCAGTCTTCACATGTCACCAATCAGAGAGACTTGAAAGATCAAAAAAATGCCTCCGCGAGTCACCAGTTCCAAACCCAAATATCCTTTCCAAGCCACAACAACTTCAAAAATGACTTGTTTTGCAGAGATGTGTTGTTTTGCATGGCCTTGTTGCCAATTTGAAAGAGCTCAGCAGCGCGAAAATGCTACCTATTATATATATATATATATAGTTGTATAAATATATATATATATACGTTTGCACTGTATATGTGCATTTGGGGCAGTCCCAAGACTCTGTTTGCAACTGTCCCCCCTGCTGCAAAAGCCGCAGATTCAGCACCCCATCCAGTGTGCAACTGGGACACCGTCCGGCCCTGAACGTCTGGGGGATCCACTTGGATTTGGCGGTCGAAACGTCCAGGTCGCACCAGCGCCTGGCAGCACGGAAAAGTCTGTCGAAGGCAAATGGGTTTGCCCAAATAAGGACACGCTCAAAATTGGGTGGTTCCCCTTAGTTTCCCGAAAGCAACCTCGAAAAGGTACCCTCAAAAAGCGAAAGACACCCCAAACTTGGTTTCAGGAAAACTATCAAGCCACGCACTGCGCAAATGTCCAGCACCGACCACTGCAACAAGCAAGTCCTGAAATGGCTGAGCTAGACGGAACTAATGCCTGTGCCAGGCCACGACTTGAACAAAACAAGCTGCCTGTTGTACAACAAGCCGAGATCAAAGTGTGCGACATCAGCTCGCAGAAGCGTTACCCTTCCCCGGAATCCATAGAGACTTAGCCAGCGCCCTGCACAACCACCAGTAGGCCTGAGTCTGAACAAGCAGGCAGCACAAGTCAAACTACACCTAGATCACTCCACACTCCGATGCACCTGGTCCAGGATGTCTGCGCGGTTGGTGGCAGCGATGACCACCACGCCCTTGTTGGCCTCAAACCCGTCCATCCTGAGCCGCCCGCTTGCAGATACAAACTCTGGAGAAGGGCCAAACACTGCGCGCAATCTATCTGCAACGTGGACACCTGGAATTGGCCCTTGTCAAGTTGCCATATAGGCAATGCGTCCAATGGACATGGGAAGTTGCGGTAGTCCCTGAAGTCCCCTTATGTCCTCCCCGTCAAAATCATGCATTCCCAGCGTTCCATTTGGAGCAAGCCTGTGCCTGCCACATACAAGTATGCCTGGCGAATGCCTCCGGCAAGGCGTCTCACTCAAAATAGTTAATCTATCCAGAATAATTCAACCTGTCTAACACAATCTATGCCTCCAACTGGACATCAAAAATTATGCCCATGTTCAGCGTTTGGGGGCGGAGCTGGCCGCCGCTGTCCAAAGAACAAACTCCAGCCGCAGCTGAGAACGATGCAGGATCTACTGTTCTGACTAGTGAATAGTTCAGCTCTTGTTTCTCAGGCCCAATGCGTACACAAATGAGCATTCCATCGCTCAATTGCACTCCACTGACCCTTGTCGTGCATTAGATGCTCGAAGTCTAATGCGCCATCTTGCATTAGAATCATTAGATCCCCTTGCCAAGAACGTCAAGCGTCCCGTTTCCCAACAACCATGACAGTAGAATGGAGGATTTTGGAAGACCACTCTCATCTTAAAAAGGCTTCCCTTCCACTTCCCTTGTTGGAAAAAGGCAGCGCGCCACATCTTGCCCAGTACTAAAAGGCAAGGCACTCCGTGAGCAGTTGGTTCACCTGAGAAGCCCGGTGGATTTCCATGGGGCGAAATACCTCGCCCTTTTGGTGGTTGATTTCAAAGGGAAACACAACAAAGCAAACAAAGAAAGCAACCCACTTAGCAGTTGGTTCACTGTCTGCTCCCTCTCATCGTTGCCCTGGCCAAAGCCGGCGCTGCGCTGGCGCCCAACGGCATCGATCTCATCGATGAAAATGATGCAGGGAGCAGACCTTGGGCCACCCAAACGAAAGACGGCAAGTTTCGCAATGCGACTCAAATTCTTGCGATGAGTTTCGCAAGCAAAGGGCAAACAGGCACAGTGTTGCTTTGTTTTTTTTGAAAACAATGGCGGACCAGGTTGAGACACACTGCTTAGTTTGCAAACAAGAGTGAAGAAGGCAACCTTATTGTGCTCGACTATTGGTACACTGTATGGGTTGACCGGTTGTTATGTATTGCTAAGGCCTCAGCATTGAGATCCTCCCCAAACTGACAATAGACTATGGATATGTTTGTCAGTTGCTCACAGCACCTTGGCCATCGTGGCACAAACTGCCACGACGACCCCTGTACTAGTCTTTCCAGCAACAGAGGTCAACAAGCCCTCCCAACTGCGATTGTTCGGCCTGAAACGCATCAGTCAGAATGCCTATCCAAATGATAGAAACAATGAACAGCGGTACTAAGCATTAAGCTCGGCGTTGACTGGACGAGCATCCAAAAAGTTGGAGAAAACGCCTACCTCCCTCCAAACACCACCGGCCAAAAGCCGGGCCGCTTCTTGGCTTGCTCGAAGAGGTCCCGAACACGACTGGCGCCCACCCCGGCGAAGACCTCCACGAACTCCGAGGCAGCGATGCTGAAGAATGGCACCCCCGCCTTTGTAACGCACAGATCCGATGTGTCCGGGAAACTGTCTATGTGCAGACACTCATACAGGGGTACATAAGTATGTATACAGATTGTTTCACGTATGTGTAGACATGTGATTGACATATGTGTGCATACGCGTGCGACATGTACATTCAAATGCTCCAATTCCAACTCGAAGGGGTCATCATTGGTGATGAATTGTGAGTACGGCCCGGCATACGCCCTTGGCAAGCGGCAAATCTGCAATTGTGACAGGCATTTGTCCGAAGCATCAGAGCTCACCCCTCTCCATGAATGTCCTTTTGGCAAGTGATCACAATCCCAAGCTGGTATTCAGGAGGTCCATCGAAGACCGTGTAAAGAACAAAAAGGGTGGCGGAACCTATTTCTGGGTGGGACTCCTTCATCTACCCGGCTTTCGATCGATGCTCGAGTGATGTGTGTGTGCTCTGGACGTCACGTTCAAAATCATGGTCTCAGCGTATGGAAGTGTTCATGAGTCACCCATGTCCCTGCCAAGTTGGCCAATTCGTACTGAATCCTGAATTTATTGAGCGACCCTCACACATTCACTTGTGTCTGTGTTTGCCTATGGTTGACGGCGCGCACCCCGCTCCACTTTTCAAAGTTGTTGACGGTCCTTCCAACATGTTTTGCCACCAAGGGACCTGAAACTTCCAAAAATAAATGGGGAGCGCAAAGGTTTTGCAAGCGATAGCGAAAGACGAGCAGGATTTCGTCCGTCAACTATTGACCCTCAGCTAAGCCCACTGCCTGATTCTCCTACACAACGCCCAGAAAGGTGTTGAGATCTGAGCCCTCGATTTTTTGTATGAAGATCACACTGTCAAGTGCAGTTTACTCCAACCGCCAACCAATCTAACCTCGCGGCCCGCGTGATTTCTGAAGCCATGGCCAGAGCTTCCTCCAGCCCCCCGCTCACGCCTCGCCGGCCACAGCCTTCGCCAGCAGTGTCTTGCCAGTTCCCGGGGGGCCCACCAGCAGCGCACCCTTGGGAATCTTCGCGCCCAGCTCGGAGTATCTGAGAGTGTCAACCCACCAATGACTGCAACACCTAAAACAAACTCACGTGTAATCATTTCACAGTCAGAATCAGATCGTGAGTGTAGCCAAAACCCATTTTTCAACGAGTTAAACGTGCGTCTTGCCGCATCCGTTTGTTGTGGGTTGGGGTGGATGTCGCCTAGTATTCACCTACCCCAGGTTGAATCGCTGCTCACAGCCAGATTCCCTCAAAATGCTGGCCTGGAGGTATTCTTCAGGAAGTCGACCACCTCCACCAATTCCTGCTTGGCGCCGTCGCAACCGGCGACATCCGCAAACTTGGTGCCCGTCTCTCCGTCCTTGGCAATACCTCAGCTGCACCAATCTGTTGCTTGGGTATGGCTGTGTCTCAAAACTAGGGGACCCCCCAAAATGGTGTCCTTGTCAAAAAGATGGTTGCTCCAAAAAGACACGCCCATACTCAAGCGTTCTCCGACGTTGACTATGAACTCATGGAATCACCTCTCTTCGTGCCCCTGTATCGCATATGTCTGCCTTTGCGAAACAAAACTAGTCAATCACTGTATCGTCCTTCCAGCTGGTGTGTTATCTCCTGTACCACTGGGAACAAGCGCATTCCAATCTATTGCTTGAATTGATGGGACTTCTTGAAGAATGCTGCTGTGGCTCTACACTCTGTGCCACACTCTGCACGAAAGCACTGCCGAAAAACAGCATCAGCTTCAAGCTTCCCTTCCACTAGATACCAAGTCACGCGCCTTGGCTTTGCCCAACTCAAAGGGGTTCCCACCTGGAAAGCGGCGATACGAAATCCAGAATTCCTTTCGGTGTCTCGCTGCGTCCGCCAACCACTTTCACAGGAATTGAAAAGCTGTAGCCATTTGAAGAAATCCCCCAAGAAGCAAAACTATGGTCGGACTGTTTCTTACTTCAAGCAAGCCTTCAAGCCCCACCTGGGCCACCTGGGCCGCCGGGGCCTGCAGGGCCGCCCAAGGGTCCGCCGAAGAGCAGCAGGAGACCAGCGATGAGCCAGGCCAAAGGACCGGCGAAGCTCCGCAGGAAGTCCAAGGGGGAGCCCTGGTTTTCTTGGGTGCAACATGTGTCACAACCAGACCCGTTTCGGCCCCCCCTCAAGGGAAATCAAAAAGAGTGGTTTGGGTTAGAACTTGTTGAAACAAGGGGTTGACCCAGCCCTGCCTCCTGGTTGGTCCCAACCACCACGTCAACCTGACGGATCAAAGATTGCGATTCATGGCTCGACATGTCAAAACTCCAGATCTGTGCCCTACCCGTCATGGCTGCAAGGAACAGGAATCCTTACCGCGGTCCGGACCCGGGTTGCCCGAAATCCCTTTTCAGCTGATGATCGTGCCTACCAACCCCGAATAAAGGCTCTTTCACGACGGTACGCTTGGCAAAAGCACTGTAAAGACGGGGGTCTGCATGGAATCCTCTTCCCTCATGAATCACGAACACAGAGCCCAGTGAACAGGTTTCTTGACAAGCATGGCCAAGGCTGGCCTTCTTGTCAGCTAGCTGATTGAAGAGCTGATCCTCGATCTGTGCGTTGGGAATGAGGTTTACTTCACGACGAGAGCCGTCTTTGGTGGTGTACTGCGCAGAGACCATATCTTGCTGCACCCGGACCATCTCCACATCTCCCCTGTTCACTGACTCCAGGAAGTCGGAATAGTTCACCACATCAGCCGCCTGTGCTGGCTGCAGGGTCACCACGTTGCTCAGGAGCATCGCTGCCGCGGCGCTGGCGGCCCACCGCAGCTGGCCCTCCACCCCGCTGCGCAGCGCCTGCTCCGCGCCTTGCGCCACCTCCGCGAAGGCCTTCGCGCGCGCGGCCGGGGCTGTGGCCGACTGCGCCCTCTGCAGCTCGGCGGCGGCGAAGCTGCGCAGCTCAAGCACCAGGCGCTGCAGCTGTTGAGGCGAGGGCCGCTGCAACAGCTCTTGGGCAAGGGCGGTCAATTTGCTCAGCCCCTGCCACTGCTCCATGTCAGGCCGCGCAGCTACAACCGTGCGTTCTTTGGCCCGACGGGCACCCCTGGCACCTGCGCCAGCCATAGCTGCACCGGCCACGGCAGCACCGGCCACTGCGGAGCCGAGAGTTGGCTCAGATCGCATGGCCTGAGCGGCCTGAGCAGTCTGAAACGTCTGAGCCGCTGTGCTGACCTGAGCCTGGCGGGGCACTCCGGGGGCAACGAACGCTGGGGCCATGAACATAGCCATTCCCCCGGCCAGCATCACACCCGTTGTGCGGCTCCTTGACATCTTGCTGCATACAGCCATGGCAAATTCGCAACTGGTCTGGACGATGATTGTGCGCTCCACTTTCGAAAATTGTTTGAACCAAACGGCTGTGCACCATCAAATAAACATGTATTCCTTCATCAATTGGTAAAACCAACCAAACACAAAGCTGAATCCACCAGCAGATGCCGCAGCATCAAGAGCGCGGAAACAAACACGCAGCCACCGGCAAGGAAATGGTTTCCAGCATCAAGACCGGAGAGAAAACCTTCTGCGCCAGCCCCCCTAAGCCACCTGCGCGCCGCACACATGCTTGTATGCGCAGCACACACACACACACACAGAGCAAAGATGCGCAAACACAGTGGAAGCAAGAAAGCAAATGCGCGCACACGAGGAACACACATGTGGGCACGTGCGCAGCTGAAACACACTATTTTTGAGACGTAATCCCAATATGTAAATCAACAACAAATGTGTCCGCTTCTTTCTGGTGACCAAAACTCAAACATAGTGAACTTGAACAGTCGTGCAGCATCAGCCTGTCTGCACGGTCTGGTTGGCCGATTGGCCAGGGTAACTGAATAAGCTTATGGTTTGGTTGAACCAAGCCCTTCCGTACCTGGTCTTGTCTGAAGAACTGTCTGGCAAGGGAAGACTAAACCCTCAACAATCAATGAGGCTTTTAGAGTTGATACGGCTTCTCCGCCCATGCGCCAACTATCAGACCCCATGATGACAGCACCTGTCAAGCACGACTGCGCCAGCGCAGGCTCTCGGAAATGCCCTGACTCCTGCTAACAGAATCGCGCAGCTTTTCCGCATATGAGAGTACACAAAGGAAATTTAAGCCAACCCAGCTGTACAATAGGCGACTCTTTCCTGCGAGGCGAATTCAACCTGGCCGGCTACTAACTTGACTTGGCAGGTCAGAAGCATGGCGTGAACTCGCGAAGCGGCATTGGAAGCATGCCATTCGGCCCTTCAAAATTGGGGCACAGCATTGGGATCTGAATTCAAATGCCCCCATGCCAAATGTGCCGAAGATTGCTTGGACGGCTGGCAAATAGCAGCTATCTCAAGTCTGCACTCGGAGAGCCTCTGATTCACTAATTGGGTTGCAAAGCTAAACTGCATCACGTCCGTGATCTCAGAGGCTCCCAAAGCTGGAACTGGAGCCTGCAACTCATGAAAGTTTGAACCTGTTCGAAGTATATGAATGCCTGCCAACTTTCGGGCAGAGTCACTCCTCCTTTTCCGGACTTCCAAGTTCCGGAAAAGGCACTTGCTTGGGCCAACTTTTGGGCCTCTCCAGTGCGCCGCTCAGACCGCCGTCAGCTTCTCCGGGACTGCGGTGTGCTCCTCCAAGATCTGCTTCAGCCTCTCTCCGGACATGGTCTCCACCTGCAAAATGCGAAATGTCGTTTGCAAAGAGACGAACCGCATGGATTCCCGGGAGTGGTAAGGGATGCTGCTGCAATGCGTGTACATATATATATATATATACTGTACGTACATGCGTGTGTGTGCGTGTGTCGCATCTGTTTCTGTGTCTCTGTCCTTCTCCACGTGTCTCTGTCTCTGTCCGTGTATCTGGCTGTCTCTGTCTGCCTGTCTGTCCGTCCGCCCGTCTGTCTGCCTGTCTGTCCGTCCGTCCGTCCGTCCGTCTGTCTGTCTGTCTGTATGTATGCGTGTGCGTGCGTCATTGGCATATATGTTCATACATGTGCGTACTATATACATGCATGTATATGATTTACGTGGATGGGCATTTGCGGATATCTATGTATGTTTGGGTGTGTCATTCTTTGCCACAAGTCTTGACAAATGAGAGGTAGGACGGCAGCTGTTGTCAAATGCTGTCCGGCAATCCCCAAGGACCTCTGCGATTCCGAGCGATCCCTCTGGCTGTCCGGCAATCCCTAAGGACCTCTGCGATTTCGAGCGATCCCTCTGGCAATCTCCAGCCAACCCTAAGCGAAACCTAGATCTTTCTAAAGCAGCCCTAAACCAGCCCTTGACAAATCCCAAACCAACCCTAAACCATCACGCAGCTTTCATTCAGGGTGTCCATCATTTCTCTCCCACAAATGATTTATGCACCCGCGACAACACTTCGTCAATGGAATTACGGAGCTACCGGAGCCCTTTGCACGGTACCCCTGATTTCCACTGGACTGTGAGGGATCCCTTCCTGCGCTCAACAGAATTTCCATTGTTTTCCCCCAAGACTTCAACAGCAAATCAATGCAGGATTTGGAGTCTAACTTAGGGATTGCAACCAAAGAATGGCTATGAATTTCAATGGGGAGCACATTCAGCCATGAATGCCCACGCAGATGATCCTGGGCTAGCGGATCTTGCGCATTTGGTGCCTCGCAAAGCTCGTGGGCAATCTTGTCCAAGACGGCCCGATGCTCGGCGAGCAGAGTTAGGGCCCTCAGGTAGCACCTCAGTGGCAAACCTGACCTGAGTATGAATCTGAATTGGTTAAATCCTTTGGTGGACAGCAGAAACCCATGGGGGTGTCCATCCACCACATGGTAGCGTATTCTCTATTGATATTCATATATTGATATTCATAGCCACCTCAGTTTCCCAGCCACAAACATCCCGCCAGGGTTTCTCCATGGGTGTCAATCCCAATACGTATACAGCACCGACACCTGTGGACACTGTTCTTTTGGGGAAGCCCTGAGTTCTGACAAGAGTTGTTCCCTCATGTTTCACAAGTAACATCATGTCCCACAAGACATTGTGTGTTTCTTCACAAGTCTCAAGACACTTGTGAGAAACGGGTGGGATTTGAAGAAAAACAAGTGCGTTTAGGTTTAGGATGTTTAGGGTTGAGGTTTAGGGATTTAGGGCTTAGGCTTCGGTTTGGGTTTCGGGTTCTTCAGGTTTAGGTTTAGGGTTCGTAGGGTTTAGTTTTAGGGTTGCGGTTTAGGGTTTTAGGGCTTAGGTTTCGTGTCTTTAGGGTTTAGGTTATGGTTTGGTTTGGGTTTAGGTTTAGGGTTTTTAGTGTCTAGTTTTGGGCTTTTGGGGTTTTGGTTTTGGGGGCCGGGTGTTTGAGGTTTAGGTTTAGGGCTTTAGGGTTTAGGATTGGGGCTTGGGTTTGGGTTTGGTGTTTAGGCAAGAGCTCCCAACATCTGACCAGGCATTCCGGCTCTCACAGATTGAAAAAATGGAGACACGACTCGTGAGAAACGACTCGTGAGAAACGACTCGTGAGAAACCAGGAGATTTGACTTGTGAGAAGCGAGTGAGCATCCTTTGGGATGTTTGTTAACACACTCACACGCCAGGTCAATCTAAACTCCTGATGTGGGTGCGAAATTGCTCAGAGGTTGATGACCGTGCGTGCCAACCCCAAGTCAAGTTGACATTGAACGTGGCACAGATGTACTGTACAGCTTCCAAGTGTTGTACTTTCTGAGATCTACATTTCTACTGACGCCCCCCCAAGTAATTCTGAGAACTTAAACTGCAACAACTTTAAGTGCCCCATGTCCGAGTTTCCCCCAATCCAAGCGGCTCATCCGAGATGGCCTTCACCGCCCCGTCGATCTCGCTGCTCAATGCCTCGGAGTAGCTCGGGCCCATCATGCCCCCCTCGTCGATGGCGATGGAGCCCACCTGGCATCGCGTCTTTTTCCCAGTTGTTTGCCAAAGAAACAAAAGCAAGCATACCATGAAGAGTGCCAAGACCAACCAACAAGAATCATGGTGGAAAAGGTCGCCCTGCACAAGGTGTTTGATGGTTGGGACCATCCGTACACTTGTGGAGTTACTCATGGACCGCAAATGACTTGACTCAAATGCCCAAGGGTTTTGGGTGCAATTCTAGGGTGAAATGCGCAAAAGTCCTCGGGCTGGAATCGGAGAGGACGCTGCAGATTGCATTTCGGTCACTCGATGCATCACCACTCTGAAAGTCAGCACATTCCCACAAGCAACCACTGCCCAAGCTTCTGCAGCCCAGCACCATTGGAGGTGACAGCACATGTGCCAAAAAGTAGTCAGGGTATTCCAAATTTAAGCAAGTGTCAAGTGTCGGGTAGAACCGCGTATTATCAATGGCTAGTAGGTGTTGTGGACGCTGCTCAGCTGTGGACACCTTGTGGGTCTCAATGCTTGAGGTTATGAGCTCTCCCCCACCAAATGGCTGCCCGTTTCCCCTGGGGGTTGGGTCATTTCATGAAGGGAATAATCACTGAGTGGGAATGTACTAGAAACAATGATGCAAATTCTACAGCTTGCCATAAAAAAGGGAAGCGATCATCCTACCCACGCAACTTCTCAGCGACGTTCCATGCCTGGGACATGCCGAACTGTGTGACCATGGCCCGGGCCATGCGTTCCACCTGGCGGGCCGAAGCAAAGCTGCACACATCTATGTCCCCGTACAAAAAGGAGCACTCTGATTTGGAAGTTGCTCTTTGTTCAGGGCCAGCAAACAGGCACTGGAGGTCTGGGATATAAAGAGCAGCTGAGCTACCAAGATCCTGCAAATGAGCTATGTGCTGAGGCCAACCAGCTTGCCAGCTGATGTCGGGCTTGCCAAACTGGCTCTGCCGGTTTGCATAAATGGGCACGACCTGCTCCTGCAAAACTTACACACGCGCTCACACGTCAGGCGTGGGAAAGAGCAATCCAGCAACATGGATGCACAACTCCTCAGCTTCATTCCAAGATGCCCCCCATGCCAATTTCAGGGACAGGGGGCATGGAGCGTCCCAATTCTATTCATTTAGTCTGCTCCAAGGCCCTGGAAGATGGGAGTTGAGTGACATTCTTTCTTCTCGACAAGGCCACAGATTGTGTCCCACTGGACTGCAAGAGCGTACGGGAACCTGTTGCTCAACTCTCAACAGTATGTGGGTCTTTTATTTGGGTATCCCAGTAAAGCTTTGGAACTGCGAAACAAAACGCATTTGTGTATGTTGCCTCGTCAAGGCCTAAATGAGGCATGGTCAAAATCACTCAACCTGGGACAAATCGCTTCTGGTGTCTGTTGACATTGCGTGACCAAACCTATGGACCCCACGGATCGGAAGCGCCTGCTGGAGGTCTCCGCTGGCCCCAGTGGTGACCTGGTCGGTGCCGAAGACCAGCTGCTCCGCTGCGCGGCCCCCCAAAGCGCCCGCTATGCGCGCCTGCGCATAGAAGGCTGGATTAGGGAAATCAAGCTTACGGAGACCCGGACCCCTTTTCGGAATTTGCCAGGGAAGCCACAATAAAAACCCCAGCCACTACCGTCTATTGGGACACTCTGTGCGAATATTTTCACTGGTGTTGGTCTATTTTCCCGGCTTCTCTATGCCACCCACTTGCCTTCAGCATGGCCGCTGAAATGAGGCTCTGGTCCTCCCCAGGGGTGAACCAGGTGAGGCCTTTGGCCTGGCCACGGGGGATCAGCGTCACCTTGTTCACCTGGCAGTCGCAGTTTCGGTAGGCAATGCCAGCCGCACATGCAGAAGGAAGAAACGTACCGACCTGCCCACCCTCACCCTCTGTGGGAATTTGGGGAGTTCCTTGCAGCGTCCCTTTGAAAATTTAAGTCATCTGGAAATAGTGAGGAATAATCTGTGGGGGTGCCACAACTGGGACAAGCCATGTGCTAACTGATTGCTACTCACAAAACCTGGACTCGAACCCTCTATCCGATGCAACCTCGCAGGGCTGACCGGGTCATGGTATGGCAGCATCGTGCCCACCAGAGCATGGCCTGCCTCGTGATAGGCCACCAGCTTCCTTGGACATGCTCAAAAGAGTCACGATTGGCGAGTCCCCTGCACATTAGCACAAAAAAGAGTTGGTCCCCCCTCAAAAAAATTGCAGTCTGCAGGAGAGCATCCTACACGTGAGAAACGTGCGTGTTTCATTCTCTGGCATCATGCTTGGGGTTAGGTTTTGTGAGCGAACCACACTTGAACTCTACCCTGATGCTGTTTGAGTGATGCAAGCTTCAGAGTTGGCTACGCCTCCTTTGAAAAACAAACATGGTCTTCCAGGGCCCCCCTGCAGGTTCTACGTTCGCTTTTCGTGAGAGTTCCTTGCTGAGTGGCTTGGAGGCGCTGTCGGGCATAGCCCGGCCCTCGAGGCCAGCGATGACTCGGTCAGTTGCGTCGTTGATCTCCTAAGTGAGCTGCCTGCTTACCCCTTTGCCAACAATGGGGGGCAACAAAATGGATGGTTGAACATCACCCCTTAAAAGGAGCACCCTCTTTCCAACACTACAGTCGTCCAAAACCCTTCTGTCAGCTTCCATGTTCGTTGGACAAAGAGCAAGCATTAAAGCCGGAAAGGTCTCGCTAAGTCCTTGCATTTTGGATGTACAATACACAAGCAACGGTCCATTTTCAGGGAAGGTTATATTTGATTACATGACCTTCCCTGAAAATTTAATCAAACGCAAGGTTCAACCATGGCAAATATGTTAGTACTATCATTACTTGTCTCTTTTATACGAGACGCCTAGTGATTGGCCAAGTGGGCCCATGCCTGCAACAGTGTGGCCGGTTGTAAATATGTGTTCAGCCTTTCTACATGTCAAGTTTGTCTCCTACAGATTTGCCTGGCAAAAAAAAGAGCAACCATGAAACAGCTCAGCTTAGCTTGCGACAGCTTCCAACGGTCATGCCAGGTCTCCCGCATGGTGATGCCAGTCTTGTTGCGCCTCGCCGCCAGGATGGCCGACTCGTTCATGAGATTCTCGAGATCTGCTCCGCTGAAGCCAGCCGTGCGCTTGGCGATGTCCAGAAGCGTCACCTCAGGCAAAGAGCTGCTACGAGAATCCAAATACTGCATTGTATTTCTTTAAATAAAGAAAAAAAAGAAAAAAAAACTATATAACAATAGCAGTAACAGTCATAATCAAGTTGATAAGTGTTACTTGTGACTGCAAGTAAAACGTATTCTAAGATTTATGTTATTTAGCTTTGGAGAGTCCAGTTCAAAGAAAAATGGCCTTGAAAGACCCCCCAGTCAAGTTCCATGGCAGTGTGGATGAGAGGGCACTCATTTTGACCAAGAACTAAGCAGGAAATCATTCACGTTTGCGGAACCACCCACCCCAATCTGTCTGCGATGTTTCTTGTTTTTGTTTGCATCATTTTGTTGCACAAAGAAGCGTGCAAAAGCGAGCACAATGCGTAGGGATCATGCTTCACGTGACTTGCCTCAGTCACTTGGTGTTTCTAGCAAAGCCGAAAGTATGTAGCTGCCTATGCACCTGGCCGCAATTGCTCCTCAACCAAAGTGTTGGCAAAACCTGTTTACCCAGCATTTAAGCGCACAAGCAACGTGTTAACAGCCGTGCAAAACTCCAAGGTTGGCCAACCCCATGCCTCTTCTGCCAGCTTCTTGTTCTTTACATGCACATTCAGGATCTGCTCCCGGCCCTGCACATCTGGCAGACCCACGGTGACCCGGCGGTCGAAACGACCCGGCCGCAGCAAGGCCTGGTCCAAGATGTCCTAAGATTCCAGCAGCAAGCGAAGTGAGCCACAATCAAAGCCCAGGGTAGGAAGTTAGTCGGGGACAGTCCTTGCCACAAATAGGTGCGGCCTTTCATTATCTTCATGGTTTTGGAATTGTTTTGGGCAAGGACATTCTCCAACGCAGGCTGTAAATGCCGATGCCTGCTCGAAGCAATGTGATTTGCTGTGCCGTTTCAAAAAATGAGAACGCTGGCTGCCGTGATGACTTGCATCTCATGTGTCCGTCTTTTTGGGCACTCAGAACAAGCACCGAGGCCGTGCGTACATGCTTCCGAGTGTCCGCACGATTGGTGGCAGCAACTACAATGACGCCGCTGTTGCCTTCAAAGCCATCCATCTCAGTGAGGATCTGGTTCCTTGGCTATGGGCTTGGGAAAGCTTCCAAACTGGGGTCTTGCCAGCCTGCCTCTTCAGTCTCAATAAGCAAGGCTTTCGGCCTTGGCTTACAGTGTTACAGCAGCAATGCCGGATATACGAACTGCCGAATTGTGTGTGTGTGTGTGTGTGCGTGTGATGTTGATGCTGAAATCCCTCTGTCACCATAGTGGGGCGTTCAAACTGCAAACACGCTCAATGGGTGAATAAACCTCAAATAAACCACAAATGTCGCTGCAAACTTGTTGCTGAATGTTCCGCTTTCAACCAAAAAGCTGGCTGCTGGTTCCATTACAATGCCATGAGGGGCATGAGTCTGTGAAGCAAGCAAGTGTGCAACATGCTTGTTTCACTATGCTGATGCCTGGTTTAGGAGGAACCTATCTGAATGCAGACAATTGTCCCGGCGTAAAGCCATTCCTATCACTCATAGTTGGCACATCCCTTGTCGATCCGCCACCCCGCATGATGCCTGATGAATCCTGCGGCTCCAAAGCAGTATCGCAAAGTCAAAAAAAGATGATTTGACTTTGGACCCGTTTGGAGCACCAATTAGGCTGCCAACATTTGGAGTCTGATTCTCCAGGCTTGCACCCACCCTTTTTGGTGTTCAACTCTCCCATGGAGCCGGCACATCCAAGTTTCAAGGTCTGCTCGCGCTCGTCATTGCCGCCTCCCATGCCGGCGCCGCGCTGTCGGCCGATGGCGTCGAGCTCGTCGATGAAGACGATGCACGGGGAGTTCTCCTTGGCCTGAGACCCAAAGCACCAGGATACCAGGATCCATCCGTTGGGTTCCATCTGTGGCGAGAGAAACTCTGATAAATGTGGTTTGGCCAAATTACTATAGTTCCCCACCAGGATCGTTTTTGAATCCAGCTGCGATTGCAAGAGCGCGCACCGGCCGCACCAGGTTTCGAGTCCCCAACCCACCTGCTTTCGGGTACACAAACCAACAAGTCATAAACAGGGAGGTCAAAATTCAAGTTTGAAGCATCCCAACATGGTTGACCGCTGGATGGTCACAGAGATTCCAGGTTGCAGCGCAAAAGAAGGCGAATTTTCCTGCAAATCTCATTCAGTGTAGATCGGATTATTGAGACGAACGATCGATTCATCTCAACCCGCGTGCTCTTGAGCTCATTCCATGCCATCTGTCCCTCTCAGGAACATGGGCAGCAGACCCCAGACCACCAGGATATGTGCAACAACTAGGCCAAAAAGCCCCTAGATTTGACGCGTGCAACATCCAACTATGGCCCTTTGGATTCCCTTCCAAACCCCAACAAAGGGCAGCATCGAGTCAAAACCAGGACATGCTAGCCATTCGCATCCCAAGAAACCTCGGCCTGCCTCAAGGTTTCGGCCAAAATCCTGGCACAAGTTGGCAAAACATAGGTTATCGGCTTCCGGCAAGTAAACCAAAACAAACCGTTCACCAACTTTCCACCCACGCTCCAGCTGCCTGCTTGAAGATGTCGCGGACCCGTGAGGCGCCCACCCCGACAAAGAGCTCGATGAACTCGGAGGCGGAGGCCTGGATTTCATTCGAACTACCAACAGCTCAAAACAAACAAGGCAGAAAACGCCAGCAAGGGGAAGCAGGAGCATTCAAGGGCACGCGCTGCCAAAAAGAGACAAACGTGATCGATCCGAGGTCAGCGTTTGGCATCTCGTATTCCTGCCCATCCCCCAATTGCATCTTTTTGTTTGCCTTGGCCCTTCGCGCCAAGGACATCCGGCAGCTTAATAGAAGCACCCAATAGCACGCTACAAAAGGCGAGTCACCAAGCTCTGATGGGATGGGCGCCGCCGGCCTGTTGCCTCAACAAAACATGCAGAGGGCTTCAAATGTCCTCGAATTGAGGCTGAAAGCAATGCATCCCATGCTTCCCCCTCGGGAAACAAAAGGACAATTTCCACATGCTAAACACAGCCATCTGTGGACAGGCTCGTGGGAGGCGAGCTGAACATCAAAATTATTCCGCACAGAGTAATAGGCCACGGTTGTCATGACCATTCTGCTACATAACACCCTGCATCTCCAGCTTCTCTTGAGCCAGGGCGACTGCACGACGATCCTTGGGATAGGTGCAGTGCGCCAGGCAGTAGAACAAGAAGCACATGGCGAATGACACCAGGGAGACCCAAAACACACCTGAGGCCAGGCTGTGGGCGTCCTGGGGCGAGCACTCCTTCTGGTTGGCGCTCTCCGAGTCGAAGCCGAAGATCTTGTCCGTGAGCCACCCCACTGCAGGCTGGCCGAAGGCGCCGAAGGTTCCTTCAATGCACCGGTCCAGCGCGTAAATATAGCTGTAGCTCTCTCTCGGGACGACGTCGCTGAACATCTTGTTGTTCATGACCATGTTCCAGGCGATGAGGATGCCGGTGACAAGGAAGGCCGCACAGTAGGAGCCAAACAGCCCGGGGGTGTCGATATCCATATCACCAAGACCGAACAGGATGAACGCGAAGAGTGGAATGGACGCGCCCACCGAGAACTGGCAGATCGTCGGAGGGCCATGATCCGGGCAGCGCCTGAAGACCATGTCCAGCAAGAAGCCCCCGATGATGCTGGAAAAGGCAGTGCCAATATTGAAGAAGGCATAGATGGTGGCAGCCTGCTGGTTGGAAAAGCAGTTCAGCTCCAGCCACATGGTCAAGTAGCTGAACGCAAACCAGGGTGCAGTGCCAAAGACTCCCTGCCCGATGATCACCAGGAAGGTGGGGAGGCAAAAGATCTTGCTGAGCTTTGGAGTCTCTTGGATGATGATCGCCAGCATTGTGCGTTGGTCTCTCTCCTTGGTCTCCTTGACAAAGATGCCAACTGCAACACCCACAAAGGCGCTTACGATCGCAATCACAAGCAGCGCAAATTGCCAGCCCGCGATGCTGCCCACCTGTGTGCTGGCCACAGTGGTGGCAAAGGCAGTAAAGGCAGTCTGGCCCAGCTGGCCCGTGAAGATCAAGCACCCGAAGGCCTTCCCCCGTCCGTAAATGCCGCTCTTGTCTGCGACGAGGCTGAAGAGCAGAGGCTGGACAATTCCAAGGCCAATGCCATTCACAGCCCGGAAGATGGTCATACAAAGCAAATCAGGTGAGAAGGCACAGCCGATGAGGCCTACGGCCCAAATCATGCTACCAGCGAGGATGAGCTGCGGCCGTGGGAGGCGGTCGGCAAGGAAGCCCGCGGGCAGGGCGAAGACGGATTCAAAGATGCCCCGCACGAGACCCAGGTTGCTGAGATCAGCTGGTGAGAGGTTGAAGTGCTTGGCAATCTCTGTGTAAACTGCTGGCAGGGCCATGTTGTCAGTGTTCCACATGACCATGACCATGTTCAGGCACGCCATCTGCAGCAACCAGCTCCACCAGCTCTCCTGTGGCTGCTTCTTAGTGTCTGCAGCATCAGACCATTGTTGATTGTCTGAGGCTGCCTTGGCGCTGCCCGAGTCAACTGCAACTGGCTGGTGGCTCGCCATGGCAGGACACGCAGAGGTCTGTGAGCGCAAATCGTTCGAGCCAAAATTGCTATGCCACCAAGCCGGACTCCCGAATCCAACAGCTTCAGAGTTGGCCCAAAAACTGTCCTGGGCCCGAAACTGGGCATCGAACGGTTTGCCACTGGCCTGGATGAAGGGCACCTTGGCTTCCCCCGCCAACGCCTTGGCCATGAGGGTCTTGCCTGGGCCAGGTCCAGTGGCTTTCCGCCGAGTCTATGCTTGAAAATGAGTATATATATATATATATATATGAATATATATATATATATGTGTCAACACAGGGGACCCCCCGGCTTTCCTTTTGCTTTCCCGTTCAACCACCCCGATAATGGGACCTTTTTTGAGGGTACCCTGTTCAACGGCTGGCTCGACGGGAAATCAAAAGCAGATGGATCCCTGGAAAAGGAAAACCAAAGGACCCAACCCCTTTCACACATGTTCGACCACAACGGCGGCCGTCTTCAAAACCCTTTGGTCTAGTGATTTCGTGGCCGCAGGGAGGACAACCATCGCTCCAGGGGAAGGTGCATATTTGATCTAAGATCTGTGCTGTTGATTCATGCCCCAGTGCATGATGGTGGCATGCCGCTTTACCTTTTGGTTTATACGCCAACCAAAAAGGTTGCAGGTCGAAAGAGCCTTCGCCCCGAACTCCTCCCCTCTTGCGTCGAGGCGCCCGTGCCCGGAGGGCCACTCAGCAGGACGCCTCGAGGGATCTTGGCGCCCACCTTCACGAAGCGCTCGGGCGCCCGTAGGAAGTCCACGATCTCCGTCAGCTCCTTCCAGGTGCAAGAACTGTTGCAACCAAACCCATGTTGGAAATCGCCCTTCAGGGAAAAAACGAAAGTAGGCGCTGTATAAGTAGTTCGGTGGTTTATATATGACATGGTGCCAGTTTGTTGAAACAGTTTGGTGATTTAGTTAAGTGGTTTAAACAAGGGATTGAACCGCCCACCTGCTTGGCCTCCTCGATGCCTGCCACATCCTCGAACTTTACACCTGAAGGCCGAAGGGGAGGACTTGGGCTGGGCAGACGGGGGAGCCACTTGCCTTCACTTCCTTCCCACTCATTGATAGACATTAAGTGCTTTTGGTGGAGACCGGTGAGAGGGCGTGAGGATTTGTTTAGTTGATCTCAAGTCTGGAAGCGTGAAGGACACTTGTTCGATTGTCTCTGTGAGACCTGTTGATCTTCTCAGTCACCGGCACCCACATCCCAAATCCACTCATAAACTTATTCATCTGGGGCGTATTCAATCTTAAGCCGCTGACATTAAGATTCTGTATCACAAGAAGAAGCTGCTTAACGAAAGGGACAGATGAAGCTTGCCGAAGGAAACCGTCTCTTGTATCAAATGTTGCTGTCAACGCTGCTTCATCTTCCTTCGTGTTCATCCATGATTATCTTCCGACCGCAACCAGGAAGGTGAGAGACAGACTGGCCACTGCATCTGAACATTGTCAAGGCAAGGATTGCATAGATTCAATGAGACTTGGTATTTGGGAACTTGTCCCGAATGTCATCCGTTCCATGTGTCTTGAGGACAAATATGAGAAGAACAGGCGGCTCCTATTAAGACATGTAAAACGCATAGATTCTTCATGACGTGATTGGTTCAGATTCAAATTGAAAGGACTGGCGAGAATAAGAACAATTGGACCTTCTTGGGTGCGATAGCTGCATTAACGTAATCGAAGCTTTCACTGATCGCGCCCATCGAACCAAGCAGCACTGGTGGTCAGGTAACTGATAGCATGATCTTTCTCGAGAACAGAGTTTGTACCATTTTGACTGGAAACTGCAAGACACACGCCCTACTAAGTCATGGGGCCACAACTAGCACAATGAAACGGACAACTGAAACGGACAACGTGCTGGGAAATGCTGCATCCTGTTGCGCTTTTGCACCTTTTCGAGCTTTCTGATACGAGGCGGGATCGAAGTTACTTGTTTCCCCAAAAGGGATTCGACAATTTATGAGTCCCTTGGAAATCTAGTAAGGCCCCCATGTCCCTCCCGGTTGACGATAAACTACTGGACATCTGAACCAACCTCATAATCTCATGATGTGTGTCTGCTTGCGCCACTGTTGCCAGTTCCCAGGCGCCGGTCTCCGGCGTCATCATGATCTGCGCTTTCTGGTTCATGCCCGGGATGCCGCCGGTGCCAGGGCCCCTGGACCAGGCTTGGGCAATTTGTTGTTTGAACAACCGGGCCCTAGTCACTTTTTAATGGGAGACCAGAAGGAGGCTTGCTTCCCAAAAGAATGGTTTCAGCCAAAGTTTTAGCAAGGGATTGGCCCAACGGCCTGGAGCGCAATTAGATTAGACCTTAGCGAGGGGTATTGCCCATCCCTGGCCTGGACCGCATATACAGCAACCCTCCGATGAGCAGAAGCGGCAGAGCGGCATCGCCCAGCGCGCCCAGCAGAGGGTTGGGCTTCTCAGGCGTGTGGACCTCGATCTGGATCCTGAGATACGAGCGTGAGGCAAGCGGACAAGTCCTTTTTGAGAGTATCATGTTTGGTTGTTGTAAAGGCAAACCAAAACAAAACACCCAGTTTGGGATTCCCTCATTTGAAGATCCAAGGCAAGTGGAGAGCAAGTTCCGACATGTCTGTCAGTTGATCATTGGGTTGGTTTTTTTTTTAATTAACAAGCGCCATCCTCTCTTCATAGTTTTCTGCATTGGACTAAAGGGCAAAACGGCGGCCGTGCTTCTCATCTTGCAAAACGTAAGGTAGAAAAGGTGAGAGCGGTCACCCTGTAGTTCCCTTGGGGTATCCCTCAAAACACTAAAGGTTCAAAGAAGGCAAAAGTTGAGCTGACAAGTAGTGGCAAGAGGGCCGGAAAAAAGAGCATTGTGCTTTGATACAAGGTAAAGTAGCCATTCTAATGACTTGAGCTGCGGCCAACATTCGGAGTATCCCAACTGACATGGGATTTTGGTGAGTCCCCATTTCTCAACGGAAGTTTGGGGATCGTGCGCACGTACGTCCCCTTTGGAGTAGATAACAGTTGTCTTTGGACCCGGATTTAGGCCCTTAGTTACTCTCACAGCAAGCAGCTGCTTGGCCAAGAGCTTGTTGATGAGTCCGGTGCCCGGCGGCAGCTCTGCCACCAGCTGCTGCTGCCTGCCCGCCACGCTCACCACCCCTGTGCGACCCTTGTCGTAGAAGTCCACGCGGTCCACCTGACCCTCCTCAGCGCTGAAACGCGAGACATATGTTTTCAAGTCATGTTCTTTTGCCGAGCTGGTTTGCAAAGCCGGCTTGATACAGCATCTTACATGGTGCAAGTTGCTCCATGCTTTCTGTTGCAACAGAAACAACGTGCGGGCCAGGTTCATCCACCAGCTGCAGCAAATTCGAGTAGCTGACCCTGTCCACAGGCGATGCTGCGATCTCTCGTGCTGGGGCCGCCTGCTGGATTGGGGCTATGTCTGGCAAAGCAGCCTCGGCCGAGGCTGGCACCTCGGCGGAGGCTGGGATAGGAGCTGCAGTGGATGCCAAAGCCACTAGAAAAGAGGCAGCAGCAGCTTGGATCGCCTGCAACAGGGGAAATACAAGCAATACAATCCCCTGCCCCAACAAATCCAAGTATTCAAAGGCCATCCCGCCACAATGAAAGCCCTTGGCAACAAAAGGTCCTTGGACTTGTGCCGTCCCGCGCCTGCTCTGGCAGCGCTGTACCCTGCGAGTCGGCCACCTGCTGCACCTTGCGCAGCACCTCATCGCTGGTGCACTCGCTTGCGGCCTCCACCCCTTCGGTGGCAAGGCCGTACCGCGCCACCGCGCTCCTGTCTGCCCGGCTGCGCAGCATAGGCAAAGCGCGGCTTCCGCAAAAGCCAGGTCTCCTTTGGCCCCGGACCTGGTGGACTTGCGCTGGCAGCGCGGCGCGGCTGGTGCCGGTGTTTTCGGCGGCTTCACCAATGTAGGCCGCAGTGGCCATCTGCTGCGCCATGACCAACTTGCCTTCAGCCATAAAGCCCAGTTAAATGACGATTGTTCAAACAAGCTTCAACCAAGCCGTCAACCAACCCTGCCTTCAATCGCAGCCTTGTTGATCATCCTGACCAACTCTTCACCACCAACCTTCTCCTGCTCCATCAAGGTCTTGGCAAGCTCATCCAGCAGGTACATGTTGTCAGTGAGAAGCTTCATCCCACGCTTGTACTGCTCATCCACTATGCGCTTCACCTCCAAGGATTGGACTCTAATTGCAAAACTGGAATCGGGATGTTCAGATGTTCGATTCCCGCATGCAAAATGGCAGCTTCGACCAGGCCACCATCATGTTGCATTCTCCCCTTGGATGACTCGCCCCTGGGCCGTTTGTCCCTTGGCCCCCCACATTTACCCAGATTCGTCCTCGCCTCATCATCCACCTGCTGCTTCAAGGCCTGCGACATGGGGGGCGCGCTCTGACCCATGAAGTCTCGGCCCATGAAGGGACCGCCCCCCTGTTGGCCGCCCAACAGCCGCTGGCCGATCGCTGGAGACATGCCCAGCGACATCACCATCCTCAGCAATCTATGCCCTGTCAATCGGAAATGGAAAAAGGCTCCTTCTTTGAGCGTGCCCCTTTTTCGCTCAGAGGCCATCCAAAATTGGGCGGGCGGTCCCTCATTGGAAAACAAACAAAAAAACGATTGCTTCTTGTTTGGGTGAATGAAGACCAGGGAGATCCCCACTCCGTACTTAAGTGTATAGGGAGTGATCCCAGTCTACATCCATATGGTTCTCCCTTGCTGGAAGATGGGACAACACATATTATCAACGGGACCACCTATTTGGGTCCCTCATTTAGAGACAAACCCACCTGTTGTTTATTGGTTGCTGTTGAAGATGGAACACGCCAACCCCTTGGGGTCGCAAAGTTTTGACACATACCCACTTGGCCTGTTTGCAAAAAGGACCTTGGTTTCGCAAACAGGCCAATGCTTTCTGGCATCATGCTGCACCCAAGGTTCCATTTGTCAGATCTTTGCAGAAGCAAGATTCAAAAGGACGGACAGGCCTCTAGCCTTCAAGGCACGTCAGTTGGATTCAACTTTGCAAGCTCAACTTAGGAACATGATTGGGTGTCTCCTCTGCAAAATAATGAAGGTGGCAGGGGCGATCACTGCAAAAAAAGAGGCATGCGGCCTGGGCGCTGCTTGGCCACCTGCGTGCACTGCTGGAAGTCGTTGGAGGCCCCTGTGGTGACATTGTCCTTGCCGTTGATGATCTCCTCCAGGCTTGGCAATTCAAGCCACTGGCCTGAACTCACTCCTATGGATTTAAATTACGGCTTAACTGTGGGTTAAGTACCACAGGGTGGTTCGAACAATGGTTGGGCAATACCCCCTTCTAAACTGGGACAAAACCCATATCCTTCAAATACCCGCTAAACAAGCCCTTAGCCCCCAGTTCAAGCCATGGCTCAAACCACCAACTGTTGTTTTCCTTAGGGGTTGGGCGATTCAAGCCCTGGTTTGAACATGGGACTAAGCCCCTATTCTTGAAACATCCCTTCAACGGGAGCTTCTAATCACGAAAAAAAACACTCCTGGCTTCCCTTCAAAGAAAGCCCGGGTCTGGTTTGGGGGTTGTCAAGCATATGGTCCTTTTTGGACCCCTGCGCTGCCGTTTAAAGGGATAGCCCCACTTGTTCAAACAGACTTTGCAGCGAAACCCCAGGTCTCCTCCGCCAATCGCCCGCCCAGCGCCACGCACATCCGGTTCTCCAGAAACTCCTCAGAAAAGAATCGAAACCACCCATCAAGGCCTAGTTGGGTGTGGCTTTTTTCAGATTTTTTTTTCGAGGTTGGGAAGTGGAAAAATATACTTGTTGAGTTGGGTTTTGGGAGTGGATTAAAGGATGGACAAACACGACTGTCCAAAATCATCTGAAGCACCCCGATACTTATAAATATTATATTCATAGAAATAATCTCATGAAAGTGACCGATGTCACATATTAATAAACCAGGACACTACACCCGGAGGTTCACTTAATATTTGTTGCCCATCAACAAGTGGGTTTCAATGCCTGGGGGCGAGAAAAAAATGCTACCCTGGCAACTACCAATCTTCACTTCGGATTAATGCGGAGGACACATCCGAGGAATGCCCCTAAAACAGACTAATCCTTCACTACAGGGCAGCCACCCTGATTAGTATGGTCCTCCGGATTAATCCGAAGTTGATGCTAAAGGCAGCTCTTCCTCTACCTCGAATTCAGAAAAACGAACATCCGGAAGCCGCGCCTTGGTGTAGAGCCCAGAATCCAGGCGATCTTCCGAGGGGGTGAAGATGGTCACACCACCCGCAGGTCCCCTGGGCACGATGCTGATCTTGGCGACGACGTCGTAGTCGTTCATCCTTGTGGCGCAAGCATCCTCCAAGATCCAACATACAGAACCACTATGAAACGAATCCTCAGAGCAGAGTTTAAGGTATGCTCCAAGGTTCTCAGACGACCCCTTCACAACATCTGGAACCCGCACGCTCTGTGGCCGCTCCGCCGTGAAACAACAGCGCCAACCATTGTTCAGGATGGTACCAGAATTTAGTGCCGGCAGCGTTCAGCGGCTGCGTCCCACAAAAGCAGTCGGAAGCAAAAAGGGAAGAAACTGAGCCCGTGCCAAAAATTGCTGAAGCTGCCAAGCATCAATGCGCCCAAGATAGCATGGCCAGCCTCGTGATAGGCCACCAACCGCTTCTTCTTCTCACTCATCACGGCCTGAGGCGGCTTGCGCCCGCCAACGCGAAACGTGGCAGTGTCCGGCGCGGTTCCATGACAGGCAAAGGAGTATTGAAAATCCTAGATAAAGGTGTGAAGCGCGCATTGTGAGGTTCCATGAGAAACAAAAAGCAAAATATGCACGTCAGACAATTCATGTTGATTCTTCTGCAGATTCTCAGGCCATAGCAATTGCTGTTGGCATATACTGCGTAGCTTTGCAACCAACAAACTAGCAACAACAAGCAAAGAGGGTTGGCAGCTGGCAGCTTATGACTTTTCTGGGACGCCCTACCAATTTTGTGGGTGTTCCCCAGTCCAGTTTATAGCAACAAAAACCAGCTAAAAGACTGGGCCCCCATATTTGCTGAGAGCTGACTTGGGCCATGCAGACTGCTCAAAGCGCGATTCAAGAGGTCGCCAGCTGAAACAGGAATGTGAGCCATTGCCCTGGTTTGTGTTCGACATTGATTGAGTTCCCCAAATTTGGCGCTGGCTTGAAGGGCAGGTGTGACTGATGGCCAGGGCCATTGCCAGAAAAAATACTTGTGCAGCCATGTGACATCCTTTTTCTCCAAACCGATGGCGATCCTCTCCAGTGCGTTCGCAATGTCGTCCTGGTCAATCTCAGTCCTTAGAGTGTACAGCTGCATACCATATCTAAAACTAAAGAATGAGCAATCCGTCCATGTTTTCAGGGCTGATATTAACATGATGTTCTGGCACGTCAAGCAGAAACCAACAAATGACACCTCGACAAGCTCGGGCTGTCAGAGATCAAAAACAAGTCCGCAGACCAAATTGACTCCTAGCCAGGCGACGACAGCCTCAAAGAGGCAACAACAATGGCGCGACAACCACACCAGCAATAGCGATGAGAAAGAAAAAATGATAATGATGCCAACCATGTCCAGGATGATAGTGATAATGATGACGATCATGCTGATAATCCTCCCCAAGCCATGGTCCAAAACCTGCAACCCAAAAGTCCCCCCCAACATCCAAGGCACTTGTTCTCGCGTGCCGCCACGATGGCGCCCTCGTTCAGCAAATTCGCCAAATCTGCGCCGGACATGCCGGGGGTCATCCGAGCCACAGCCGTGAGATCCACGCCTGCCAAGGCGGCAGGCGAAACGTGATGGTTGGGAGCATTGAAGCTTGGCCAGGCGGGACTAAGACCCCCGCAAAAGTTCAATTGAGCTGGTGAACATGGAGAATGAAGGAGACCCAAAGGGCAATGATTGGAAGGTGCTGGCAGGTTGAAGATCCCTACCCACAAAGGAAGGGGGCGCCGGGTCTCCCAAGTTCATTTGAGTCCCAGAATCATGCGGAAGTAGAACCATGAAATTCTAGGGGTCACTTCCCAAGTTCCATGTCTAAAGGGGCTTGGAGGATTGGAGGTGGCACCTTCAAAGATCTGAAAACGGGTCAGGAATCTGTTGGGAGGCATCTCCTCGTCGACCTCACTTGGATACTCAATGTGTCCAAGGTGAGCGTGCCCCATGTCATCCCCTTTAGTACGGTAGATGACAGTAAACATTGTCCATTGCTCTAGCATGTATCCGCAAAGTGGACCGATGCAAGGTATGCGGATGGATGTGTCCTGGTCTCCACCAAGTGCAGCATGGAGACGCCATTGTAAATGAGAAAAAACCTGCCCTGAAATTTGATAGGCAAGGCTGCGCTTGAACTACGCTCCACCAACCAACGTGGAATCAGACTCGAGGACCCGAAAAGGCCGTTTTTTCTCCGCAAGGACCCCTTGGTGGTTTCTATGTTGGTGGGTGGGAGGGCACATGGCGAAGGGGGGAACATTCTGCGGCGCCGGCAAAGGGCGAGACTTGTTGCACTTCTTAGACACACTTAGCTTCATTCCCCGGGACGTCCGCAAACATCTGCCTGGTGCCAGGTTCTTGCCCTTGGCATGAACCTTGAGGATCTCCTGGGCTCAACCCCTTCAAACCCCTGCCACCAGGCTCTCAGAAATGCCTGCTGTGCTCTTACGAAGTGAGGCCCGCGTTAAATTTCATGACCGACTTGGAGAGACATCCCCCAAAGACCGCTTTCTTTAGTCATGCATTTGTCTATCCCGCATGATTACATTGGTTAGGCAATGTATGTGTGTGTGTGTGTGTCTGTGCATTTGGCACGAAAGAGTAGAGCAGTAGTCATGCAGTGTCCTACCAGCTGTGGCAAGGCAAGAATGCAACCGCTTTAGCACCGCCTTTGCTCTCTGGAGGGCAGCAGGAACAGACAACAATTGGAATGCAATGAAGGCCAATACCATCATGCTCTTTTGTAGGATGCGAGTTGCCTGAAACAAAAAGTGCTGCGCCTGATCCATCCTATCCGAGCCAAAAAGGAACACCACATCTGCTGCAGTCTTCACATGTCACCAATCAGAGAGACTTGAAAGATCAAAAAATGCCTCCACAAGTCACCAGTTCCAAACCCAAATATCCTTATTTCCAAGCCACAACAACTTCAAACATGACTTGTTTTGCAGAGATGTGTTGTTTTGCATGGCCTTGTTGCCAAATTGAAAGAGCTCAGCAGCGCGAAAATGCCACCTATATCTCAATGTGTATGTACATATATATATATATATACATATATATATATATATGTGTGTGCACTGTATATGTGCATTTGGGGCAGTCCCAAGACTCTGTTTGCAACGGTCCCCCCTACTGCAAAAGCCGCAGATTCAGCACCCAGTGTGCAACTGGGACACCGTCCGGCCCTGAACGTCTGGGGGATCCACTTGGATCTGGCGGTCGAAACGTCCAGGTCGCACCAGCGCCTGGCAGCATGGAAAAGTCTGCCGAAGGCAAATGGGTTTGTCCAAATAAGGACACGCTCGGAAAGGTACCCTCAAAAACCGAAAGACACCCAAAACTTGGTTTCAGGAAAACTATCGAGCCACGCACTGCGCAAATGTCCAGCACTGACCACTGCAACAAGCAAGTCCTGAAATGGCTGAGCTAGACGGAACTAATGCCTGCGCCAGGCCACGACTTGAACAAAACAAGCTGCCTGTTGTACAACAAGCTGTGGTCAAAGTGTGCGACATCGGCTCGCGGAAGCGTTACCCTTCCCTGGAATCCATAGAGACTTAGCCAGCCCCTGCACAACCACCAGTAGGCCTGAGTTTGAACAAGCAGGCAGCACAAGTCAAACTACACCTAGATCACTCCACACTCCGATGCACCTGGTCCAGGATGTCTGCGCGGTTGGTGGCAGCGATGACCACCACGCCCTTGTTGGCCTCAAACCCGTCCATCCTGAGCCGGCCGCTTGCAGATACAAACTCTGGAGAAGGGCCAAACACTACGCGCAATCTATCTGCAACGTGGACACCTGGAATTGGCCCTTGTCAAGTTGCCATAAATACGATCAATACTCCTCCAATGGACATGGGAAGTTGCGGTAGTCCCTCTGGTTTGTACGGTGACATTGTGAAGTCCCCTTATGTCCTCCCCGTGAAAATCATGCATTCCCAGCGTTCCATTTGGAGCAAGCCTGTGCCTGCCACATACAAGTATGCCTGGCGAATGCCTCCGGCAAGGCGTCTCACTCAAAATAGTTAATCTATCCAGAATAATTCAACCTGTCTAACACAATCTAGCGTGCCTCCAACTGGACATCAAAGATCATGCCCATGTTCAGCGTTTGGGGGCGGAGCTGGCCGCCGCTGCCCAAAGAACAAACTCCAGCCCCAGCTGAGAAAGATGCAGGATCTACTGTTCTGACTAGTGAATAGTTCAGCTCTTCTTCTCAGGCCCAATGCGTAAACAAATGAGCATTCCATCGCTCAATTGCACTCCACTGACCCTTGTCGTGCATTAGATGCTCGAAGTCTAATGCGCCATCTTGCATTAGAATCATCAGAACATCCCCTTGCCAAGAACGTCAAGTGTCCCTTTTCCCAACAACCATGACAGTAGAATGGAGGATGTTGGAAGACCACTCTCATCTTAAAAAGGCTTCCCCTCCACTTCCCTTGTTGGAAAAAGGCATCGTGCCACGTCTTGCCCAGTACTAAAAGGCAAGGCACTCCGTGAGCAATTGGTTCACCTGAGAAGCCCAGTGGATTTCCATGGGACGGAATACGGCGCCCTTTTGGTGGTTGATTTCAAAGGGAAACAACCTCCAACAAAGCAAACAAAAAAAGCAACCCACTTAGCAGTTGGTTCACTGTCTGCTCCCTCTCATCGTTGCCCTGGCCAAAGCCGGCGCTGCGCTGGCGCCCCACGGCATCGATCTCATCGATGAAAATGATGCAGGGAGCAGACCTTAGGCCACCCAAACGAAAGACGGCAAGTTTCGCAATGCGACTCAAATTGTTGCGATGAGTTTTGCAAGCAAAGGGCAAACAGGCACAGTGTTGCGTTTTGTTTGAAAACAATGGCGGACCAGGTTGAGACACACTGCTTAGTTTGCAAACAAGAGTGAAGAAGGCAACCTTATTGTGCTCGACTATTGGTACACTGTATGGGTTGACAGGTTGTTATGTATTGCTAAGGCCTCAGCATTGAGATCCTCCCCAAACTGACAATAGACTACGGATATGTTTGTCAGTTGCTCACAGCACCCTTGGCCATCGTGGCACAAACTGTCGACAACAATGTGCCGCGACGACCCCCGTACTAGTCTTTCCAGCAACAGAGGTCAACAAGCCCTCCCAACTTCTTTACGATTGTTCGGCCTGAAACGCATCAGTCAGAATGCCTATCCAAATGATAGAAACAATGAACAGCGGTAGTTACTAAGCATTAAGCTCGGCGTTGACTGGACGAGCATCCAAAAAGTTGGAGAAAACGCCTACCCTTGGGCTGGCTCATCTGAGGGACAACCGCAGAAGAGGCAGGAGGGTAGGTTCCCCCAAGAGTGCAGGCAAAAACCTAAATCTTAACTAAAACGTTTGGAGGGCAGCTCTCCCCCCCCAAACACCCACATGCTCCCTCCAAACACCACCGGCCAAAAGCCGGGCCGCTTCTTGGCCTGCTCGAAGAGGTCCCGAACACGACTGGCGCCCACCCCGGCGAAGACCTCCACGAACTCCGAGGCAGCGATGCTGAAGAATGGCACCCCCGCCTTTCTAACGCACAGATCCGATGTGTTCGAGAAACTGTCTATGTCCAGACTCTCATACAGGGGTACATAAGTATACCTGCATGTGTATACATATTGTTCCACATCTGTGGAGACATGTAATTGACATATGTGTGCATACGTGTGCGATATGTACATTCAAATGCTCCAATTCCAAGACCAACTCGAAAGGGTCATCACCGGTGATGAATTGTGAGTACGGCCCGGCATACGCCCTTGGCAAGCGGCAAATCTGAAGCATCAGAGCTCACCCCTCTCCATGAATGTCCTGTTGGCAAGTGATCACAATCCCAAGCTGGTATTCAAGAGGTCCATCGAAGACCGTGTAAAGAACAAAAAGGGTGGCGGAACCTATTTCTGGGTGGGACTCCTTCATCTACCCGGCTTTCGATCGATGCTCGAGTGATGTGTTTGTGCTCTGGGCGTCACGTTGCCAAGTTGGCCAATTCGTACTGAATCCTGAATTGATTGAGCGACCCTCACTTGTGTCTGTTTTTGCCTATGGTTGACGGCGCGCACCCCGCTCCCCTTTTCAAAGTTGTTGACGGTCCTTCCAACATGTTTTGCCACCAAGGGACCTGAAACTTCCAAAAATCAATGGGGAGCGCAAAGGTTTTGCACGCGATAGCGAAAGACGAGCAGGATTTCGTCCGTCAACTATTGACCCTCAGCTAAGCCCACTGCCTGATTCTCCTACACAACGCCCAGAAAGGTGTTGAGATCTGAGCCCTCGATTTTTTGTATGAAGATCACACTGTCAAGCGCAGTTTACTCCAACCGCCAACCCATCTAACCTCGCGGCCCGCGTGATTTCTGAAGCCATGGCCAGAGCTTCCTCCAGCCCCCCGCTCACGCCTCGCCGGCCACAGCCTTCGCCAGCAGTGTCTTGCCAGTTCCCGGGGGGCCCACCAGCAGCGCACCCTTGGGAATCTTCGCGCCCAGCTCGGAGTATCTGAGAGTGTCAACCCACCAATGACTGCAACACCTAAAACAAACTCACGTGTAATCATTTCACAGTCAGAATCAGATCGTGAGTGTAGCCAAAACCCATGGCAACGAGTTAAACGTGCGTCTTGCCGCATCCGTTTGTTGTGGGTTGGGGTGGAAGTCGCCTAGTATTCACCTACCCCAGGTTGAATCGCTGCTCACAGCCAGATTCCCTCAAAATGCTGGCCTGGAGGTATTCTTCAGGAAGTCGACCACCTCCACCAATTCCTGCTTGGCGCCGTCGCAACCGGCGACATCCGCAAACTTGGTGCCCGTCTCTCCGTCCTTGGCAATACCTCAGCTGCACCAATCTGTTGCTTGGGTATGGCTGTGTCTCAAAACTAGGGGACCCCCCAAAATGGTTTCCTTGGCAAAAAGATGGTTGCTCCAAAAAGACACGCCCATACTCGAGCGTTCTCCGACGTTGACTATGAACTCATGGAATCACCTCTCTTCGTGCCCCTGTATCGCACATGTCCGCCTTTGCGAAACAAAACTAGTCAATCACTGTATCGTCCTTCCAGCTGGTGTGGTATCTCCTGTACCACTGGGAACAAGCGCATTCCAATCTGTTGCTTGAATTGATGGGACTTCTTGAAGAATGCTGCTGTGGCTCTACACTCTGTCCCACACTCTGCACGAAAGCACTGCCGAAAAACAACATCAGCTTCAAGCTTCCCTTCCACTAGATGCCAAGCCACGCGCCTTGGCTTTGCCCAACTCAAAGGGGTTCCCACCTGGAAGGCGGCGATAAGAAATCCAGAATTCCTTTCGGTGCCTCGCTGCGTCCGCCAACCACTTTCACAGGAATTGAAAAGCTGTAGCCATTTGAAGAAATCCCCCAAGAAGCAAAACTATGGTCGGACTGTTTCTTACTTCAAGCAAGCCTTCAAGCCCCGCCTGGGCCACCTGGGCCGCCGGGGCCTGCAGGGCCGCCCAAGGGTCCGCCGAAGAGCAGCAGGAGACCAGCGATGAGCCAGGCCAAAGGACCGGCGAAGCTCCGCAGGAAGTCCAAGGGGGAGCCCTGGTTTTCATGGTTGCAACATGTGTCACAACCAGACCCGTTTCGGCCCCCTCTCAAGGAAAATCAAAAAGAGGTGGTTTGGGTTATAACTTGTTGAAACAAGGGGCTGACCCAGCCCTGCCTCCTGGTTGGTCCCAACCACCACGTCAACCTGACGGATCAAAGATTGCGATTCATGGCTCGACATGTCAAAACTCCAGATCTGTGCCCTACCCGTCATGGCTGCAAGGAACAGGAATCCTTACCGCGGTCCGGACCCGGGTTGCCCGAAATCCCTTTTCAGCTGATGACCGTGCCTACCAACCCCGAATAAAGGCTCTTTCACGACGCTACGCTTGGCAAAAGCACTGTAAAGACGGGGGTCTGCATGGAATCCTCTTCCCTCATGAATCACAAACACAGAGCCCAGTGAACAGGTTTCTTGACAAGCATGGCCAAGGCTGGCCTTCTTGTCAGCTAGCTGATTGAAGAGCTGATCCTCGATCTGTGCGTTGGGAATGAGGTTTACTTCACGACGAGAGCCGTCTTTGGTGGTGTACTGCGCAGAGACCATATCTTGCTGCACCCGGACCATCTCCACATCTCCCCTGTTCACTGACTCCAGGAAGTCGGAATAGTTCACCACATCAGCCGCCTGTGCTGGCTGCAGGGTCACCACGTTGCTCAGGAGCATCGCTGCCGCGGCGCTGGCGGCCCACCGCAGCTGGCCCTCCACCCCGCTGCGCAGCGCCTGCTCCGCGCCTTGCGCCACCTCCGCGAAGGCCTTCGCGCGCGCGGCCGGGGCTGTGGCCGACTGCGCCCTCTGCAGCTCGGCGGCGGCGAAGCTGCGCAGCTCAAGCACCAGGCGCTGCAGCTGTTGAGGCGAGGGCCGCTGCAACAGCTCTTGGGCAAGGGCGGTCAATTTGCTCAGCCCCTGCCACTGCTCCATGTCAGGCCGCGCAGCTACAACCGTGCGTTCTTTGGCCCGACGGGCACCCCTGGCACCTGCGCCAGCCATAGCTGCACCGGCCACGGCAGCACCGGCCACTGCGGAGCCGAGAGTTGGCTCGGATCGCATGGCCTGAGCGGCCTGAGCAGTCTGAAACGTCTGAGCCGCTGTGCTGACCTGAGCCTGGCGGGGCACTCCGGGGGCAACGAACGCTGGGGCCATGAACATAGACATTCCCCCGGCCAGCATCACACCCGTTGTGCGGCTCCCTGACATCTTGCTGCATACAGCCATGGCAAATTCGCAACTGGTCTGGACGATGATTGTGCGCTCCACTTTCGAAAATTGTTTGAACCAAACGGCTGTGCACCATCAAATAAGCATGTATTCCTTCATCAATCGGTAAAACCAACCAAACACAAAGCTGAATCCACCAGCAGATGCCGCAGCGGGGAAACAAACACGCAGCCACCGGCAAGGAAATGTTTTCCAGCATCAAGACCGGAGAGAAAACCTTCTGCGCCAGCCCCCCTAAGCCACCTGCGCGCCGCACACATGCTTGTATGCGCAGCACACACACACAGCAAAGATGCGCAAACACAGTGGAAGCAAGAAAGCAAATGTGTGCACACGAGGAACACACATGTGGGCACATGCGCAGCTGGAACACACTATTTTTGGGACGTAATCCCAATATGTAAATCAACAACAAATGTGTCCGCTTCTTTCTGGTGACCAAAACTCAAACATAGTGAACTTGAACAGTCGTGCAGCATCAGCCTGTCTGCACGGTCTGGTTGGCCGGTTGGCCAGGGTAACTGAATAAGCGTATGATTTGGTTGAACCAAGCCCTTCCGTGCCTGGTCTTGTCTGAAGAACTGTCTGGCAAGGGCAGACTAAACCCTCAACAATCAATGAGGATGCGCCAACTATCAGACCCCATGATGACAGCACTTGTCAAGCACGACTGCTCCAGCGCAGGCTCTCGGAAATGCCCTGACTCCTGCTAACAGAATCGCGCAGCTTTTCCGCATATGAGAGTACACAAAGGAAATTTAAGCCAACCCAGCTGTACAATAGGCGACTCTTTCCTGCGAGGCGAATTCAACCTGGCCGGCTACTAACTTGACTTGGCAGGTCAGAAGCATGGCGTGAACTCGCGAAGTGGCATTGGAAGCATGCCATTCGGCCCTTCAAAATTGGGGCACAGCATTGGGGTCTGAATTCAAATGCCCCCATGCCAAATGTGCCAAAGATTGCTTGGACGGCTGGCAAATAGCAGCTATCTCAAGTCTGCACTTGGAGAGCCTCTGATTCACTGATTGGGTTGCAAAGCTAAACTGCATCACGTCCGTGATCTCAGAGGCTCCCAAAACTGGAACTGGAGCCTGCAACTCATGAAAATTTGAACCTCTTCGAAGTATATGAATGCCTGCCAACTTTCGAGCAGAGTCACTCCTCCTTTTCCGGACTTCCAAGTTCCGGAAAAGGCACTTGCTTGGGCCAACTTTTGGGCCTCTCCAGCGCGCCGCTCAGACCGCCGTCAGCTTCTCCGGGACTGCGGTGTGCTCCTCCAAGATCTGCTTCAGCCTCTCTCCGGACATGGTCTCCACCTGCAAAATGCGAAATGTCGTTTGCAAAGAGACGAACCGCATGGATTCCCGGGAGTGGTAAGGGATGCTGCTGTATATATATATATATATATCTATATATGCTAAGACCCCCTCCCAATACCAAGGTTTTTTGTTTTTTTGACTTGTGGGGCAAATGATGGATGCTTTGCAGGGCAGACGCAGAGGTGACTTCCAGCAACCAGTTGGACAGTTTATGAGCTCATTGCTGTTGTTTTTTGTGAATAGTACCACAGCGACATGTATGTTTGCAACATATACAAGTGGTGGCCACGTTTGGCTCAAGTCACAAGTTCTCCAACCCAGCCTATGCGTTGCTGCGATTCGTATTCCGAACTCTTGCACCAGCGTTGCAGGACAGCACAACCATTCCTGTTGGGACACAAAGCTGTTTCCCTGCGATTCTCACTTCTGCCTCTAAAATCAGAGGTTTTGCGTAGTTGGTGTGTAGAAAGGTAGGTGGGGGTGGATGGCCGCTAGTTGGAAAGCGTCATATCTACTCTGCACTTCCTCTTTCTCCACATGACTGAAAGCGCTGCAACATAAGGTGCTGTTGATGATTTGTCACCTTCTTTGCGGTAGCAGGTGTTTCGTCTTTTGAGGATTGAAAAAGGCAAGAAGTCCAAGACGGCTTATGTGTTCGGCTTCAAGCATGGTTTTCATTGGAAACTTTGATGTTTACACTGGTTTCCAGCGCGCGTAGTAAAGCAACACAATCTGTTTTTTTGCAGCTTGAGCCCCATAAAATGCCAGTCAGGAACCTGAGGCCATCGGTAGGGGGGCTGATGACCGTACCAATCATTTGGCCATACATTGCGCACCAAGCAACACCCCCAAATCCATGTCCAATTGATTCTCAAATGGTTGCTATACCAAGTATGTTGACCCAACCTCATTAGAGCACGTTTGGTGAAATCCTGCCTTCATGGTTGTGTGAACCAAACCAACATTTCTGAAATGCCAAAGTGGGCCACCCGCTTCGTCACATTTTACTGGGGTTTGAACCTGGGCCTACGCCCCTTCTCAGCCCAAAAAACTGAAAATTGAAGAAGATGAAAGCTCTAGCTCTGAAACTTGCACAGGCCCAAAAAGAACAAAACAAACAGAAAATCCGGAATGCAAAACCTTGTCCTTACTAGATTTTATTTAACATGTCAATTGACATTTAATTAAAGCAATGTTTGCAAGGGAGCTCATTTTCAAACTCTATTTTAAACCGAAGTTCTGCATGGACTGGTTTCGTCATGAAAACAAATACCACTGTTGTTTAAGCCACATTTAATCTAAATACATTTGGGAATGAGCTCCTATTTGAAATGATGTTCAGAGGCCAATTGAATAATTGCCTTTAACTCCGATTTGGAAAGGGATTCTTATTTAAATTCTGATGGAATATAGATTTTCACATGAACTATGGCCTTACTAATTTCCACTCAAAATGTCGATTCAATTTGAAGTAACATCTTATTTGCAAAGGAATTCACATTTGATATTTCGGAGGCTCAAATCTCCTGATTCTAGATTGATCTGCTCAGGATCCGCTTTCATGCCCTCGAGACACCAGGCCATTGTGGTTATTAGCGCGGGAATGGGATAGGCTTGAATTTGCCCGAGCCAGTAGCTGTTCATTAAACAGATTGAAATTGTGCATTGAAATGGTCTCAATTTGTGTAGGCTCAGCATTCCCCGCAAATTTAGTTTATAAACTTCCAAGTCTGGCTTATAAACTCTAAACTCTTGGACTCCTGGCAGTTGGATGAGGGGGAGGGGGGGGGGGTCCCTGCCTGGCAACTCTTGAAGGGGGGGGGGGGAGGGGGGCCGGCAACTCTTGAAGGGGAGGGGTGGGGGGAAGGTTCCACGGAGTTGCCGATTGAGTTTATAAACCAGACTTGGACGTTTATAAACTCCAACACTGAATTATAAATCAGTCAGTTATGTGATCTATACTCATCCAATGACACATAACGATGATCAAGCACTTGTAGTAAGACATGTGTTCTGATCTTTAGAAGGACCCCAACTCAACTCCAGGTTTTCCTCAAACAAGCGACTTTCTATACAAAAACACATGCAACATGTACGTTTTAAAGCAGGAAAACCTTGGTATTGGGGGGGGGGGGGTCCTACCATATATATATATATATATGTATACTGTACGTACATGCGTGTGTGTGTGTGTGTGTGTGTCGCATCTGTTTCTGTGTCGCTGTCCTTCTCCACGTGTCTCTGTCTCTGTCCGTCTATCTGGCTGTCTCTGTCTGGCTGTCTGTCCGTCCGTCCGCCCGTCTGTCTGCCTGTCTGTCCGTCCGTGCGTCCGTCCGTCCTCTGTCTGTCTGTCTGTCTGTATGTATGTATGCGTGTGCGTGCGTCATTGGCATGTACGTGCATACATGTGCGTACTATATACATGCATGTATATGATTTACGTGGATGGGCATTTGCGGATATCTATGTATGTTTGGGTGCGTCATTCTTTGCCACAAGTCTTGACAAATGAGAGGTAGGACGGCAGTTGTTGTCAAATGCTGTGGGGCAATCCCCAAGGACCTCTGCGATTTCGAGCGATCCCTCTGGCAATCTCCAGCCAACCCTAAGCGAAACCTAGATCTTTCTAAAGCAGCCCTAAACCAGCCCTTGACAAATCCCAAACCAACCCTAAAGCATCACGCAGCTTTCATTCAGGGTGTCCATCCTTTCTCTCCCACAAATGATTTATGCACCCGCGACAACACTTCGTCAATGGAATTACGGAGCTACCGGAGCCCTTTGCACGGTACCCCTGATTTCCACTGGACTGTGAGGGATCCCTTCCTGCGCTCAACAGAATTTCCATTGTTTTCCCCCAAGACTTCAACAGCAAATCAATGCAGGATTTGGAGTCTAACTTAGGGATTGCAACCAAAGAATGGCTATGAATTTCAATGGGGAGCACATTCAGCCATGAATGCCCACGCAAATGATCCTGGGCTAGCGGATCTTGCGCATTTGGTGCCTCGCAAAGCTCCTGGGCAATCTTGTCCAAGACGGCCCGATGCTCGGCGAGCAGAGTTAGGGCCCTCAGGTAGCACCTCAGTGGCAAACCTGACCTGAGTATGAATCTGAATTGGTTAAATCCTTTGGTGGACAGCAGAAACCCATGGGGGTGTCCATCCACCACATTGTAGCGTATTCTCCATTGATATTCATATATTGATATTCATAGCCACCTCAGTTTCCCAGCCACAAACATCCCGCCAGGGTTTCTCCATGGGCAGCACCGACACCTGTGGACACTGTTCTTTTGGGGAAGCCCAGAGTTCTGACAAGAGTTGTTCCCTCATGTTTCACAAGTAATATCATGTCCCACAAGACATTGTGTTTCTTCACAAGTCTTAAGACACTTGTGAGAAACGGGTGGGATTTGAAGAAAAACAAGTGCGTTTAGGTTTAGGATGTTTAGGGCTTCGGTTTAGGTTTCGGGTTCTTCAGGTTTAGGTTTAGGGTTCGTAGGGTTTAGTTTTAGGGTTGTGGTTTAGGGTTTTAGGGCTTAGGTTTCTTGTCTTTAGGGTTTAGGTTATGGTTTGGTTTGGGTTTAGGTTTAGGGTTTTTAGTGTCTAGTTTTGGGCTTTTGGGGTTTTGGTTGTGGGGGCCGGGTGTTTGAGGTTTAGGTTTAGGGCTTTAGGG